CCTTCCTCCGTAGTCTACTTGCGTTGTGTAGTGACTCTCCGCAAGGTTGACCTAACCTACTGCCCGACGGGTGACATGGCAGCTGACTTCCTCACGAAGAAGCTGTCACGTCAGCAGTACCAGCACTGCTTCGAACTCAGCGGAGTAGTCAAGCAGGTCAAGACTCGCTACGGCCAGGAGTGAAGGGGGGTGTTACGAATAGTGATTATTGAAATACTATTGTGCACTCCTCACCGCAACAATCGAAGCATGCACTATCGAGAACGAAGTCGAAAGGACGGAGGTAACACGAAAGGTCGCACGGCTACGATAGCATATGGACCGACGGGCAGACAGCATCAGGCAGCAGCAGTGGCGAGGATTCTGCCGAGACAGTTTCGTAACCACCCGGAATCGCACGGTTGGATTTCGCTGCAATAAGGGAATGTACCCCTTAGAGTACATGGCTAGCTAGGACGTTTCAAATTCCTCTGTACTCTTATTTATATTTCTTGTACTGCATGTTTTTTATTATCTCAAGCATTTACATTCACTCTGCTATTGAGGTCAAGGGCCCACCACCACTAAACTAGTAGTGTGCGAACCTCCCTGAGGTGATCCTGGTTACGATCAACTTCTGATCGCAAAAAAAAACTACATGCACTTATACAAAAAATATATATAATATATTCTAACAAGGTGAGCCCTCATACCAATCATGACATCTTCATGCTTGATTGGCTTGTTTCGAATTGGAAAATGTATTTGATGTCGATACAAATAGCGAATACTATTCCAAAATGGTCACGCAATTGGGAGATGCAAAATAATTATGATTATTGGAAGAAAATCATTGTAAATGAGAACACTTGATACACCCAATGGGAATTCTTGAACGATATTTGCCTTATGTACAATGCCTTGTTGATATAAAAGCACTAGGTAGGTAGCATCAAATTGAGACGTTGCGTAGTAAGAAGGTTATTTGCAATTTAAGTTCCCATTTGTCTTAGTAGTTTTGTATTTTGCACATGTATACTCAAAACTATTTCTTATACATTTTCTCGTAGGCTCATAAACTACGGGCCCGTTACCCGTGACAAACCACTATTGCTATTGTGTCTTGTTTTACACTATAAACACAACATACATACAATATTGTTGATCGATCATCCATCGTTTCAATCTAAGAATCTATAGCATGCAGATTTATCGACCTGTTTCTTTTCGGGCCCTCACGATCATTTGTACATACCCAACCATGTTATATCTCAACGTGATTTGACTACACATGCTTATGTGTAGAGACACATGCTTTTACACATGTTCAAGTGTTATACCATGGAGTCAGGTTTGGGAAACGCTAGTGGGATTGTACAGTGAAAACATAAAATCCGAAATTCGTGCAGTACCATTCGTGCATTTACTAAAATTCGTAACTGGATGTATATGAATGGCGAAGTGACTCAATAGTGAAAACACTATTTTGCTTTGAACAGAACGTGAGGCGTGAAATTTCGGAGGAAAATCCCTTTGGCACGTGGAAAAGCAACAAGTAACCGTCTGGAGAACCTGAATGGGAAATTGTGCAGCTATGTAAAATTGTTTTTTGTAAATTCATGAATCCCTATTTCCGCTCGTGACAAACGCGCCGGTCCTATAAAGTTTGGTCGACCGATTCGTTGAAAGTCGATCCGAGTTGAGAACCTTCACAATTTTAAGATGCTTATACGTTACGTGATTGTAAAGACACCTGCAGTCGTAACTGTTTTGATCACAAGGATCAAAATATATTTTAGGCCAAGAAAATATATCGACTAAAATCCTTTTTCAAAACGTGGTCGATCGAGTTTGAATAGGTTGGGGCGCCACAAGCGCGCGGCAAGAGGAATCTATGGGAAGAGGAGGCTAGAGCTTTTCCAAGGTCTGCAATTTCGTTTCTAGGATTTCCACTCCACTCCCATTTTCGCATCTGTCTCTTCTGGCTCGTGACATCCAGATTCCATTAGGGAGGAGCTATGAATCTTTTCTGTGGCGGTTGACCATTACGGTTCTGGGACTGGAGTTCGATTGTTCGTAGGGTTGCGGTCTCCTGGGCGAAGTACAGATTTCATCTCTCGCTTATTTCCAAGACGGGCTGCGGTCTCAACAAGGAAAAACTAAACGAACGAACTTTTGGGGCAAAGTGTACAGCGAAGTCAGACCCTCAATACACTGTACCGTAATGTCGAGCGCCAGACTGCCAGACTGCCACTCGGGCTACTTTGGAGGGGCTACTTGGCCCACGTCGTGGAGTGCGCATGATGATGCTCTTTCAACTTAGGGTCCAAGTGTGTTGGTCAATTCTACTGTTCTTCGTAAACTTGCCGGAAAAGAACAAGTATCGTGGAAATGTGTGTACATAAGCCAAACCTCTGTTCGCGAGATTCAGTCATCCTGGCTGCCCTGCCAATCTTACCCATTTTGCCCCACCCTCCAGTGGGAAGATGCAATTGTACTTTCATTCAGCCCCCCCCTGGACTTCGGAATATGGAACACGAAATCCAGATTCCGTACAGCCGAGGCGAGAACCCTACATGAACTGTACTTATAATCTGCTGGTTCGTGATGGAACAAGTCCGAACAAAATTTCCCTGGACCACATAGTACACGTTTTGCCATGCAATGTCTTTTTCTCTTACTGTTACTTGTTCTTTGGAACAACAAAACTGTGCAATGCCTTGGCTGAACCAAGTCTTTTTGCTTCACCACAGACAACCTCTGCTCGGCGAGGAGCATAATCAGCAAGAACCTCAATCTTGAGAAAACGTCGAAGGTGTCATTTGTTGAAGATTATTGTTGTTCGAATGCAAACCAAGCCGTTGTTAGGTTTAATGTGACCTTAGTCTAGCAAATAAAAAAAGTAAAGCCCATTCCAAAGTTTTGTTGTTCTATGGATTCGGTTATTAAGCTACGTATCATATAACATTTTCATGCCTCACGTGTAAAGTTGAAGCAGCTGACGCCGTTGTGTCCTGTTGTCGTGCCTTCTTGAACTTCCCAAAGTCAATCACGCATACATAGTTTCACCTCAAGAGAGTACTAATAAAGACCACGCTCTTCCCAACATGCAAGAACAACTCCGATGATTGCATGCCGAACTCATTCATATGCAACATCTACGGTTCATCGCTGTGTCGACTGATAATTGTTACGATGGTCCACATATCTTGCAATTTTAACGAATGTACATTCAATGACTATGTTTGGTAGTAAAAACAGTGTTTTATATAGCTGATGAAAGCATGCAACTTGCAGCTCGTTTTCTTCAAGTGTTATTTTTAATATGATCTAAATCTCATAGCCTTTGTTGAATTAATGAGCTCATCCTTATTTTCCAAGAACCACCCAGCTGTACTCTTTGCGGAAATGTTTTGAGACACCATCAAGATCAGGATGGAACGACTTACGATGATAATTGGCTTTTGATAAGGAAAATATATAACATTTATATGTGTGTATGCCCCCAAACATGACGCCTTTCACATACGATCACAATACCATTGATACCATTTTCAGTACTAGTTAGGATCTCGAAATACTATATAGTGCAACAAACATGCGGCACATGCAATCATGGAACAATGTGAGGCTAGATACTGTTCAACTTTGTTGGTGATATACATCTATTACGCACTTTTAAATCGCATCATTTCGCATATATACTACAAAATCATTAGTACATTAAGCATATTACGATACTGGTTACAAATCTCAAACTTCATTGATTTCATTACATCTATACGCCATCTTCGAAATCTGATATAAATTTATATATGTGTATATGTATATTGTATATATGTATATATGTATATATGTATATATGTATATTCACTCACATATACATTTTGATGTATATGTATGATAATGGACCTTCATTCACTATCACATTAGGCGCACTTGACGGAGGAAGGCGAAATACATTTGCTTAGTTACGCCCATGGCCGGGTGGGGAGTTAAATCAGCATCGTTTGTGCACACGCTTGATTGCGTATGTGGCTCAATCAAAGAAAAAACAAATGTGCAAAAAAACAAAATCAATGTATCGTGAGTACTTTGATTATGACTGGTTCGAGATGAGATAATGCAATCCTGATCTGTATTGGTAGCAGTTTTGTACTGGATCAGACAATACTATCTAATCACATCCTTGCCGTACATAAAGGCCCATCGGCTCGGGTGTGAAATATACAGGAATTGTTTTTGCCCAGTTATTCCACACTCTCCAAGGCAAATTCCTATGCTACTACCTAGAACCAGGTGTAAAGTCTTGCTGTCCAGCAAGATGATTTCATTAGTAAGTCAACATGGGTCAGTCAATCGTTAGAATGGCAGTGACAGCAGGCAACCTAGCAAAGAGAACAAGAGCCACCAGTCCATTCGTGTTGGGATTCTTTGGAGCACAAAGGGGAAAGCATATTGGACGAGAGGGGCATTATTTCTGTTGACCAACCTTAGTTAGCCTCTCACAACGCGGGTTGAATTCCCAGCTTGAAGTTCGCTCCTAACGCCTCCTCCTAGTAAGAATATACCAGCTACTAACGTGGGAGCTCCTGCGAGGAGGCCACCATTGCGACAATATGTCCTTAGATTCGACCAAGCAAAGCGGCCAGAGGCAGAACCAAGCAGCAGCTGCAGTTCTGCCAGAAACGGCGCCAGCATCGCCTTCCATATCGGTCCTAACCAACTCCGATGCGGCTGACGTTTCCGAAAATGCTGATGCAAGCTCCGCGAGCTCCTCTGGAAGGCAGCAGCGTCGTGGCAACGTCGAAGCCCATAGCATTCCGGACCCCGAGTCCGAGTCAAAGAAAGCAACCGTCGGCGTGACAATTGAAGCAACTCCACAGCCGCCGCATCATCACGGCTCGACATCGTTATCGCAGCCAAATGAAACCCAGGAACACCAAATGCCGCCGCCACCGCTTGCATCCATCGATTCAACTACTACTCTCCAGCAACTGCTTGAACATCTCGTTAATAGCATGGGGGCTGCGCGGCCCGACGGACAGACACCGTCTGGGACAACCGATCTCTCCAACGTGTCGCATCAACCGCTGGCGGCGGCGCCGCGGGACGCGTCGGAGGCTACATTCAACAGCTTGGCGGTTCCCAGTGTCGGAGCGCTGGCAGCACCCGATCAGATCGAATCAAATCCAGCCGGCGGCCGCGGTCTGCGCTTCTACTATTTCTCCTTCCCCAACGGTGTGTGCGGCTTCTTTCAAGCCAACGAACAAACCAGTTTGGGATCGACCCATGATGCATCTCAGCCTGAGCCTACCATTGGCTCCAGCCCGGGGTCCGCCAATGTCTATTCTTTTCCACACAGTCATGCCGCGTCAGCGGGTGTCAGATCATCCGGTGATGGGTCATGGGCAGAGGCGTGTGGTGGCCTGTCCGAGCAGACTGCTGCATGGGTTAGCGTGGGGGGTCAGGGACTCCCTGTGAGGAGTGACTCATTGCGGATTGCGGAGGGAGGGGTGCGCATTGCGGAAGGGCAAGGTGGAGAGATCCAGATCACCACAACGCCCACACAACCGCCGGTGCCGCCGGAGTTTAGCCGTCCACCCTACGCTCCTCTCGGTGATATCGGGCATGACCAGCCCGCAGTGGCAACAGAGTCGCCATCGTTTCACGTTGCTGCTGCTGATACAATGGAGATGGCCCCTGGAGGGAGCGGCTGTAATGCCATTGTGCCTTTTGAACCGGCCACTCAAATGCTTGAGAATGACGCTGATGTGAACGCCGACTTTCACCACCTGGTGGCGCCTCACCAGATGCCTGTTTCCTCCATCACCCCTGCCGCTCCCGAGGACTTGCACGGTACAAGTGTGGCAAGTGATACCTGCCAGCACAGCAGGCTTAAGGTGGCTGAACCGGGCCGGGAACCTGCTGGAGTAAGCGGCCTGCCCTTTGCTGATGTGCTTGCTACCACTCTGGAGGCGCAGACCGTCACCAAAAGCCTCCTTACCCCTTGGAAAGCTCAGCAGCTGCTTGCTGCTGCTGCTGCTGCTGCTGTTGGTGCTGCTGGTGGTGCTCGTGCTGCTGCTGGGACGAACGGGCCCCATCGTTCCACAACGGTGGACTCTTCATACTTGCCTGGCTCCCCAGACGCTCCCCACCCCTCACACTACCTTGTACAAGCTTCAAAACTTCCTGACACGGACTCTCCAATCACCAGAGGTGCTGCAGCCGATGCTGCAGCTCCTTGTGCTGTTTATTCTGCCACTCCGTCTGCAGCTGATGCTGCCGCCGTCGTTGCCGCTGCTGCCGATCGCACTGCTGGTGCTGCTGAGTGCACGAATGCAGAAAGCTTGTTCCTCGGTGGGTGCGATGACTTCACCTCCCTGTTGCTCATGGAACCCCTCAGCCTCGTTGACTCGCTGTCGCTCCCATATCCCTTCACCACCTTGGACTCCTTGCCTCCGGGCGTAAACATGCAAAGGGGAGATTCCCCGAGAGGGGATAAGCTGACGAATATTTTCTCGGCGGCTGCGCAAGCAGCAGGTTATGGCGGAGAGGGATCATCAGTGGGGCAGGGCGGTGATGCGGAGGTGGGAGAAGGGCTGCCACAGGCGAGTTTGGACTTTATGGCTCAGGAGGAGCTGTTTCAGGCGCTTCTGCTAGAGGAGGCACCAGAGAGCGCCACCAAGAGGTTGTTGAGTGCTATGTGCAGTGTGGAGATGCCTGCAGACCAGCCTGGTGAATCATCTGAGCATCCACCTGCTGGATCAGCCATGAAACAACCTGGAGATCCATCTGAAGATCCACCTGGAGATCCAACGGTTGGAACAGGGGCTTCCCTTGGTGTGGGCGGAAATGAGGTGGTTTTGAAGACGCCCGGAATGGGTGCTGCTGTGGCGCCAGAGGAAGGGAGGAAAGAGGGGGGCAAGCAGCAGAAGAAGAGGAAGAAGACCCAGAAGAAGGCTGAGACGGCGTCATCAATGCAGGGTGGGCAGCAGGATGCTGCAGCTGTGAAGGTGGCCTTCCCTGAAACCACGAGCACCCCAGTTGCTGAAGCATGCGTGATGCCAAGAAGCACTGGTGATTCTAGTGATTCCGGGGTTGCACCTGCTGTGGCCGGGAGTGAGGCAGTTTTGAAGACGGCTGTGGTGGGTCCTGCTGCGGATCCAGACGGGAGGGAGGAGGAAGGCAAGCAGCAGAAGAAGAGGAAGAAGACACAGAAGAAGGCTGAGCAGGTGTCATCAATGGGGGATGGGCAGCTGGATGGAGCTCGTGTGAAGGCGGCGGCCCAGGCCAAGAAAGCAAGGAAGCAGAAAGTACCACAGGGCTCCAAGTCCTCTGGCCCAGGCAACAGTCAGGCTCAACCTTCCAGTGCTGTGACCGTTGCTCCAGAACCAGCACCAGCAGAACCAGCACCAGCAGAACCAGCAGCAGAACCAGCACCAGCAGAACCAGCACCAGCACGTTTAGACTCGGCAGGTATCTCCAGTGAAGGGTTGACTAGCTCGTCAACCCCCTCTCCTGCAGCTGCTGCTGCAAATCTGAAAGGACCTGTACCTAAACCGAAGGTTAAAACACGAGCACAAGAGACTTCGTCTGGTGGAGTGAGGTACATTGGAGTCAGGAAGAGGGGACTGGGAAATCGGTGGGTGGCGGAGATAAAGGACAACATCCATGGAGTGCGGAGGTGGCTTGGGACGTTTGGCACGCCTGAAGAGGCAGCTCGGGAGTATGATAAGGCAGCAAGGGAAATCAGAGGTGAAAGCACCCGTCGCACCAACTTCCCCTTACACAAGTAGGTGGCCTGTCCAGGATTATCTCAAGACTTGTTTAGCAACAGTGTAGTTCAGTGCTTGGTATATAACAGGATCCAGAAATTGGGTACTGTTCTTCTCCGTGGCTGGTTGTTAGACAGGTTTGGATCAATCAGAGCTTCTTCACAATTGGACACTGGCCAATCAGCGATATAAGGCGTACATGAATTCTTTCCGTCGTCTATGGACTAACCCATCCCTAGCCTAGGGGGTGTGTCAATCTACAGATACACTTTTGCATATGCACATTATTGGCTAGGTTGGGTTACACTGTAGTGAAAACATGTTTGGTACATACCCAGCTGTATGCCCTGATTCTAGTCATTCATTCTTCTGTTCACAAGCAGCCCAAGGGTGTTCTTCCCATACTCTTCTAGAGCTACTGTCCGTAGCGTCGCCGTCCCGGGGCTGTCATCCGTTCCGTCCAAAGGCCGTGACCATCGGAAGGTGCAGCAGGTTCCATAAAAGAGCTGACGTCGCCTGGGTCGCTCGGATCCGTTGGAAGCAGACAACGTGAGATCATGATGAGGTGCCTCCTGTGCCTTTGCTCTAGAACGATCGCCAGATGGCTGAGAGAATCCGCCAACGCCCGCATCCACACAGCCACGTGCTTGCCAGGATCCACAAAGACTACGCACCTGAACCCCAACCAGCCTGTGGCTGTCTTTATCTGCATATACGTAGTCCGCGCGACCGTAAACGATGTGCCGCAGCCCTTGCTCGAATCTACGAAGGAAGTAGTTCCCGATCGAGATACACGAATGTGTCGAAGAGAAAGGCCCCGCCCTCGCTTGGGCGCAGACGACCTCGCAGCCGATCTCGCCGTCGACGAGAAGTTCGCGACGGATTGGTCGACAAAATGGGCTTCTGCAGTTCGACGGAAGTTGCGGTCGAGCGAGCTCGGCGCGACGAGCTCTGGTCGACGATCTCTGCGCGACGATCTCCCGTCGAAGAGCTCTGGTCGACGATCCTAGTCGAGGAACTCTGGTCGAAGAGTTCGGGTCGATGAGTTTTGCTCGGCGAACGCTGTTCGACCGAGCGATGTCGAGCTGATCGACCGAATTCGCAGGGGTGTGCGAAACTCTGCGGAGGCGTGCGAACTTTCGCCCAGGAGGATTTGGCGAAGTTCTACCTGCGGAACGGCATCACGTGGTCGACGGTGCGCACCTGGCGAAACCGACGACACGGTTTTTTCCTGGCACCTGTGCAATGTGCCTGACGGTGAAACTGCCAACCTCCACCTACTTGGTAGGTGCGCACATCTGCGCAGATAGACAACCTGCGACTGTAGATAGTTACCTGCGACTGCAGATAGTCACATGCGACTGCAGTGCTGGCAGATCGCGCGCAGTGCAACGCTGGCAGACCACTCTGCTGGAGCGTTGGCAAGCCGCTCTTCTGCTGCGCTGGCAGATTTCGCCCTTGCTAGGTGTTGCATGCCATTCTAGTCCTTTTGTTCTGCATGCCTCAATTGTACTATCAACTTTTCAATGCAAATTGCTCTCTCAACTTCCTTAGTGGAATTCTTGCCGAACTTCTCCGTGAACACAAGCAAGAAGTAAGAACGCTACTAGAGCGCTACGATTACTCGCACAACCCCGTGCCCTCCTCCGTAGTCCACTCCCGTTGTGTAGTGACTCTCCGCATGGTGCGGTGAGCGTGGAAAGCCCCGCGTTAGAACCTTCAGATTAGCCGACTTCTACGTTCATTACCTAAGTCGTTGTAGGCCGGCAGCCGACTTAGTCGCCATGGTCGACCCTGTAGTCGAAGCAGGCGTAGAACATACCCTGCAAGCGAGAGAGGCTGGTGTTCGGGCACGCCACGAGGCTGACGGGTACGGCGAGGCGGACTTCGAGATTGTGCTCCTTGGAACTCGTGCGCAGTGGGCGCGTGAGCACCCCCCTCCCCGTGCAGAAGCGGACGACGCGTCCGCCTCTCCCCGACCCGTGCACAACGAAGGTGATGGCGGCAATGTTGTCGGCGGAGGAAGCGCGAGGGTTCGCGGAGTGATTCGGCCCACCGACGTCAGAATTGGCGGAGTGCAGGCGCAAATGCTGCGATCGTCTGCGACTGGAGGCAGCTCGAACGGCAACATCGATGGTCGACGTCAATCTCCTGTGCGGAGTGGAGTCAGGCCGACTTTGTCGACTCATGCGTCGGCTGGTCGAGACGGAGGCATCGCGCCGGCGTACGGATATTTTAAAATTTCGCCGGACAAGATCGCTGTGCCGAAGCCGCTCGAAGGTCGACACGACTTGATCGCGTGGATTGAATCCATCGAGCCTCAGCTGGAGATCGCCGGATTGAAGAAGTTCGTCGACGGCAACGTTGAGACGCCGGACGCAGACGACTCTGAACTCTGGGCGGAATTTCGCGCTGCTCATCTACTAACCTTCATGGTCATTTCGAGGTGTTGCTCACCTCTGGTGCAGGTCGCATTGAAGTCGTGCAGACAACGGATGGATGCTGGCTACCAAGCGTGGCAGTACATCATGCGCACCTACAAAGCGACCGACGACCTCTACATCAATCAACTGGAGAAGAAGTAGAGCAACATTTGTATGGGGGAGCAAGAATCGGCGACCGAGTACTGCAATCGAGCGCGGCGGGTTTTGGCCGATCTGCGGATGGCGGGCGTCGACTTCTCGGTGGCGTCGTATGTCACCCATGTCATCAGCGGCCTCCCCTCGGGCTACAATCTGATGCGCCGGATGCTGACAGTTCCCGGCTCTGAACGAGGACTCGTTTTCGAGCCACATCATCCAGGACAAGTTCATGCAGGAGTCTGAGCGACCCGGAGAACTGCTTCCGCAGGCCAACTACGTCGCCTCGGCGAAGCAGGGACGCCAACAGGAGCAGCGTGGGAAGTCTGGCGGAGGCGGTGGTGCGAAGTCGTCGAACGCGAAATCGACGGAGGGCGCCGATCGCGGAATCGGCGAAAGGAGGAGATCGCGGCAGCAGTGGCTCGCGTCGAGAAGGACGCCGTTGCTACATCTGCGATGCTCCCGACCACCTCTCGTACGACTGCCCCGACCGCGACGATTCTGACGATGACCGGGACGCCAGCCGCAGAAGGTCACATGTTGGCCGTCGTCGTCGAGACAACCAGCCGCGCAAGGAGAAGCAGGCGTCGAAGACAACTTCGACGAAGGATGCTGACTCATCTGGTGGCAATGCTCGTGGCGAGGAGGCTTCGTGCTCAACCGACGATCTCGTTGGCGCTTGAGGCTGGCGAAGACTTCAAGGCAGTCACTGCTGCTGTGCAGGCCAATCCGACTGTCGTGCTGCTCGACAGTGGCTGCTCCCACCATTTGATGGGGACGAAGGAGGCCTTCGTCGACATGCAGCTGAGCGGAGACGTTCGCCATGTTCGCGGCTTCAACGGGGCACTTCAGAGCGTCGAAGGCAGAGGCACCGTTGCTCTGCAAGGGGAGGCCGGGAAGCAGGTCCTCATCCCCGACGTACTCTACGTTCCGGGTGTGCACGCGAACCTGCTGTCTGCTGTCCAGCTCAAGGAGAACGGCGTGAAGCTACAGGACGACGTCGGAGAGATGGTGTTGGTGTCTTCTGCCGGCGATGTCCTTGGTCGAGCACACTACTCTGGCAGAGTTCTCTGCACCGACCTGCGCCCCTGCTCGACGAAGTCGGCGACGACTTCGACGGAGGTTGTGGCACTGCGGACGATCGCGTCGGCGACGAAGTCGACCCCAGACATGTTGCATGCTCGGCTTGCGCACGTCGGCATCGACACGATCAAGAGCTCGGCGAAGCATGAGGTCGCCACCGGTTTGGACATCAAGAAATCGACCGGAGCCGATCTGCCATGTGCCTCCTGCGTCGGCGGCAAGCTGGCGAGGCACACCTTCCCTGACTAAGGTGCAGAAGCCGAGAACGCACTCAATGTAGTGCACGTCGATCTCTGCGGGCCGTTTCGGGTGGCCGCCAATGATGGCAGCCTCTACTTTCTTCTGCTGAATGACAGGAATACACGCTATGTGTGGGTTCGGCCGATCGCGAAGAAGAGCGACGTGCTGGTCGTCTTCGACAAGTGGCTGAAGTTAGTGGAGCGGTAGATGTCGAAGACGGTGAAGATGCTGCGTTCTGGCCGCGGAGGGGAGTTCCTCGGTCGAGCCTTCACCGACCTCGTCGAGGACAAGGGAATCCTCCACAATCTGACGTGTCCCTACACTCCGCAGCAGAACAGGATGGCAGAGCGGGAGATGCGCACGGTGGTCGATGTCGTGCGAACGATGCTTCTGCACATGGGCGTGAAGCATCACTGGTGGCACCTCGCTCTGCGACAGGCTTTCTGGGTGCGCAACTGCCTCGAACGGGCTTCTCTGCCTTCGGGGACGACGCCGCACGAGTTGCTGTTCGAGAAGAAGCCGGATTTGACACTGGGTGTGGGGCTGCATGGTGCAGTTCATGGTCCCCGAGCAGCAGCGCGGTGGGAAGCTGGCGCAGAAGGCCCGTTGGGGACTTCACCTCGGAGTGTCGGCAGAGAGCAAGTGCTGGGAGGTGCTCGACTTGACGGACAACAAAGTCGTCTCGACGGTCGAAGCGAACTTCTACGAGACCTTGTCGATGGAGATGTGGAAGGTGGAGTACGGGCAGGCGTCGACGAGGACGCCCTCTACCCCGTTGACCGATTTCTCCTCGGTGCACACTCCACTGCTTGCCGCGGACGACGTGCTTGATGAGGACGACGCAGACGAGTCACCCCCTCCCCCCCTCCCCCTGTCCCGGGATCCTCGTAGGCCGCCGGCGATGAGGGGAGACTTGGTGCGTCGCCTGCGGCGCCGACCGGTTGCATCGCCGGTGGCCAACGTGACGCCGATAAGGTCAGCGACGGGAAGCGTCAGACGACAGGGGAGCCATCGACGTCGAAGAAGACCGCAAAGAAGCCGTCAGCAGATGCGCCGACCGCAGATAAGCCATCGTCAGAGGCGCCGACCGCAGAGAAGCCATCGGCAGAGAAGCCGATCCTGGGGGAGCCGTCAGTAGAGGAGCTGCCCACAGGGGAGCAGTTCGACGACGACTCGTCGAGCGACGACGTTGCGGAAGTCATCGGTGTGGCCGGCGGCGATGAAGGGGAGCTGTCAACAAGGGAGAAGTCTGACGACGCCGACGTGGTAGAGGTCGCGGTAAAAAAGGAGAAACCGCGACGCTCTATCCACCCCAACATCGGCAAGCCGCCTGAGAAGCTGAGCTACTACGCTTGTCTACCGCCGACGGCCTACAACACTCTGCTCGACGACACAGAGGACGACGTCGATCTGCCCGAGCTCGGCCCCGACATGCACACCGACCCAGAGCATCGCTGGGACATCGCGAAAATGACGGTGAAAGAGGCGTTGGCGAGCTGGAAAGGCAAGGCGATGAAGGCCGCCATGGACGAGGAAATCAAGAGTGGGACGTGGGAGCTGGTCGAGCGTCCGAGCGGTGTCAATGTCATGAGGAACCGCTGGTTGCTCATGACGAAGTACCACGTCGACGACAGTGTCGCCCGCGAGAAGGCTTGCCTGGTGGTGAAAGGTTTCACGCAGGTCTACGGCGCAGACTACGACGAGACCTACGCTCCGGTGGGCAGCTACGTAACTCTGCGGATCTTCCTCAGCATAGCAGTCCTCGACCTGCACCTGGTGAAGCTGGACATGAAAAACGCATTTCTGCAGAGCAAGCTGGATCGCGTCCTCTACATGTACCAGCCCGACAACTACAAGCTGTTGAAGAGCTCGTACGGCCTGAAGCAGAGTCCGCTGCTGTGGTACAAAGCGCTCGACGACGTGCTGACTGGCGCGGGCTGGAAGAAGAGCCAGGTCGATGAGGCTATGTACTTCAAAGTCGGCGACGACGGAGTGGCGTGCTGGGTGCTCGTCTACGTCGACGACCTGCTCGCTGCAAGAAGCAGCACTGCGATGCTGAAGGACCTGAAGGAGCTGCTGGAGGCCGCCTTCGAGCTGCGCGAAATCAGCCCGGTCGAGAAGTATCTCGGGCTGGAAATCGTGCGCGACCGTCCTGCGCGGAAGCTGTGGCTTCACCAACAAGTCTACGTCGACAAGTTGTGTCGGCGTTTCGTCGACGAGGAGCAGATCGGGCGAGTGCCGAAGACGCCGGTCTCCGTCGACGTCTACGCAGAGCTTGTGTTCGACGACGAGGAGTTCCAGTCGCGCAAGGAAGCAGAGTACCGGCAGAAGGTCGGCTCGCTGCAGTTTGCGGCCACCACGACGAGGCCCGACACTGCCTTCGCTTGCAGCAAGCTCGGAACCGGCCTGACAGTGCGGAGCGACAACCAATGGCGTGAGGTCGATCGCTGTCTGCACTACCTCGCTGAAACTCGTGACGCCGCTCTGGAGTTCGGCGGCGGACCAGAGTCGCTGTGTCTGGTTGGCTATGCAGATGCCGACGACGCTGGTGACAAGCAGAATCGAACGAGCAATGGTGGCTACGTTTTCGTCTTCGGAGGAGCCGCAGTCTCCTGGTCGAGCCAGCGCATCAAGTGCGCGACGCTCTCGTCCACCGAATCAGAGTACGTCGCGGCCACGGAAGTTGGCAAGGAGGCTCGCCATCTGCGCTTCCTCCTTGCAGAATTCCGATTGCTCGACGCAAGGAAGCCGACTGTTCTGCACGTGGACAACCAGTCGGCGATCACTGTCGTAGAGGGCTTGGGGCTCAAGGGCAACCTCAAGCACATGGAGCGACGCTACGTCTGGCTGCAGCAGATGGTTAAACGCGGGAAGATTGCTCTGCAGTACATCCCGACCACCGAGCAGCCGGCGGACTTTCTGACGAAGGCGCTACATTTTCTGGCTTTCAACCGGTGCTCCGTCGCAATCGGCCAAGTGCGTCTGGCCGACGTGGGCGACAGGGATGACGAGGTGCACCAGTAGGTGTCGTGCCCTTCTGCACGGCTGGTGCGGTGACATGCGTGCTATGTGTTGGGTGCACGCAGACGAACTTTTCTCCTTGTATTCTATCCCTCTGGGTTCTGGGTGGACCTTGTGTGTGGGTGCCGAAGCCTGAGCTGGGCAGGGGAGTGTCGAAGAGAAAGGCCCCGCCCTCGCTTGGGCGCAGCCGATCTCGCCGTCGACAAGAAGTTCGCGACGGATTGGTCGCTGAGTGGGCTTCTGCAGTTTGACGGAAGTTGCGGTCGAGCGAGCTCTTCGCGACGAGCTCTGGTCGACGATCTCTGAGCTCTGGTCGACGATCTCTGATCGCTGGTCGACGATCCTGGTCGAGGAACTCTGGTCGAAGAGTTCGGGTCGAAGAGCTCTGCTCGGCGAACGTTGTTCGACCGAGCGATGTCGAGCTGATCGACCGAATTCGCAGAGGTGTGCGAAACTCTGCGGAGGCGTGCGAACTTTCGCCCAGGAGGTTTTGGCAAAGTTCTACTTGCGGAACGGCATCACGTGGTCGACGGTGCGCACGTGGCGAAACCGACGACACGTTTTCTGCCTGGCACCTGCGCAATGTGCCTGACGGTGAAACCGCCAACCGGCACCTACTTGGTAGGTGCGCACATCTGCGCAGATAGACAACCTGCGACTGCAGATAGTCACATGCGACTGCAGTGCTGGCAGACCTCGCGCAGTGCAACGCTGGCAGACTACTCTGCTGCAGCGTTGGCGAGCCGCTCTTCTGCTGCGCTGGCAGATTTCGCCCTTGCTAGGTGTTGCATGCCATTCTAGTCCTTTTGTCCTGCATGCCTCAATTGTATTATCAACTTTTCAATCCAAATTGTTGTTCTTTCAACTTCCTTAGTGGAATTCTTGCCAAACTTCTCTGTGAACACAAGCAAGAAGTAAGAACGCTACTAGAGCGCTACGATCACTCGCACAACCCCGTGCCCTCCTCCGTAGTCCACTCCCGTTGTGTAGTGACTCTCCGCAGAATGCACGAGATAAGGTTGGGCATTGTGTGTATCCAGACTTGAAGATTTTGATAGAGTACATCGTTGTTCGGGCGAGACTGGCTTCGGGTGTAAGAACATGGACTGTTTGTAGAGCCTCAACGTACGCATGAAGATACGACCTTACAACGTATACACACATTCGTGTAAATGCTGTTGGGTAAGGCGATTTATGTGTTTGCGTATAGGAATGGTTGAGAATGGTATTCGTGGTTAATGAGAACCTCAGGTCCCAATGCTAGTTTGTCGTGTGGTGCGTCTTCGTCCGCAGCTTCCAAGGATCATTTTATGTCACAAGCGCGCTAAGTCGAAGCACTGTAGCCAGTCTTTGAGTCTAGATGTTAGGAGAGAATCATGTGCAAGGTAACAACCAATCAAATTTGGGAGACACAAACAGTCAAACGGGGCCAAGTTGGGCGTGGATTTTAGGAAGACGACAACAACGTAAAAGCAAGCCCTTTTTCGGAAGTAACATTGGTTCGCGCTACAGACAAACAAATCCCAAGCAAAGTTGCCCAGAATCTGAATAGTAACTCTGACAGTTTCAAGTTTGCAACGTGCGTTTTAACGAGTGACCGAACGGGATAGCAATCCGGGGCAAAGTGTTACTATACGTGATAGCGCTGTGATCATACACGATAGATACAACTATGACTGTACGCGATACCCCATGTGACCAAACGTGATAAAACGGGCTTAATTGTAACCACGCATATAATTTCCCGTAGACTCTCTTTAGAATCACGTACACAGTGACCATTCCTTACACCCACATCCTTAAATGTTGCCACCTGGAATTCCATGTTAGGGCGTATCCCTGGGTGGTGGCAGGGCCACTGTAGCAGGCACTGTTGGTGGCATGCGGGAAAACCGCATGCCACCAACATTTTGCCCGAGGCGCGCGCGACTCGAATTCGGTAGCATTGAAGTGGCATTTTGGGGACATTGCCCAATCACGCACCTGTATTTGCGCGCCAAATTTCCTGACACCAACCTGGCGTTTTATGTGTTCGTGGCAGGCTGCCATCTATAGTGGCCCTGCCACCACCCAGGGATACGCCCTTACACCTGTACTGTACGTGGCACCAGCTGAGAATCCAAGGTGCACCTGTCAACAGTGTTGCACAAGTTTTTGTACTGTACATCGTTTTTGTGTTTGGGTTGGGTTTGTTGGTTTGTTTGCGTGCACGGTGCTCGCTGCGTTCTTTTCTGCACGATATCTCCGGACATTTTCCTAATCACCTAGTGTACACCAGAAAGTCAGGCGCAAGTCAGGCGGGACGGGGGTACAATACCACAGCGTGGGCAACGTTTAGGGCTAAGTGTGGGTTTCACGTATGGCTGGTAGGTCCTTCAGTGTCTATGCTAAGTGAAAGGCGCTTCGTATGATTGCACACCTGAGTTGATATTGTGCCAAAATACTGTAAATAACCTAATTGTCTTGCTTTCGAAATACGGTCCAGATGTTTGGTGTGTAGTCCGCCGGCTTATCTGGACAAGAGTTCCGTTGTAGCAAACGCATAGTAGAACTTGAGAGAGTTGCGCTAGCTTCCGTAGCAGTGAATAGTAGTAGGACGCGAGACGACAGACTTCTCCACCGCCATATGCTGCGGTACCCAGAGCTCTCATTTCATTTTCAGCCGCTCTTCCCAAGGAGAGCCCCCTGGCGGGAGGGACCAACCAACCAAAGCTAACGAGATTCGTAGATGAAACCCCGAACCGAAGGCAGGCCGTCTTGTGATGTGATCTGGCGTCTGGCGTCGCATATGTTGGCAGCATTTCGATGCACATCGCTTCAAATCCCGTCTCAATCCAGTCTGGAGGTACTGTAGAGAGGAGGGCAGGGGAAGGGGCGAAGATAGGACGACCTGGAAGAAAGAGAAGGAAATCCGGGGGAGGAATACAGTACTGTATGTCAGGGGAAGGTACTTGGGTGAAGGGGGGGCGGGAGGAGGGGTGGGTGGGGAGGGGGAAGGGGGGGGGGAGGAGGGGTGGGTGGGGGGAGGGGGAAGGGGAGGGGGGAAGAGGGGTGGGTGGGGGAAAGGGGGAAGGGGGGGGATCGCCGATCGAGGCGGTGGGTGGGTGGGGTGGGGAGGAGATTGCTCTTGTCCATATGTCAGGCGTGCGACACCAGTGACGCCGATTAATGTCGCCCGTAATCCATTGGACATCGTCGTTCTGCCATGTGGCGCGAATCCGGGAATTTGGGACTGCCATGATGTGCCATCGGAGTGCACAGTACTCCGCTGCGCGGGCCAGTCTATTCCTGAGCGACTGCCGGCGCTTTGACGGCCTGTTCCTGCCCCGACCCGATCACCGCCGGTGATGAGGGGCCCCTCGATGTGGAATGATCATTCCTGACCGCCGGTTCCGACCGCCTCCTGCCGCGCCCGACTGCCTGCGCCGATCGCGATACTACTATCCGCGCGAACGCTGCGTGCGGCGGTGGTCGGAGCAGTTCTGCCAGAACACAGTGCGAGCGGCGGAGCCTCCGCCGCTTGTTGCTGTGTCATGGCCCGCCTTCGAGGATCGACCTCGTGCGGCATGTGCAAGCACCTCGTTCCGCCGCGGAAGGTGCGGCTCCTGCTGCTGAAAACAGCACCAGTGCTGCTGCTGCTAGTGCGTCTACTCTGCTGCTGCTGCTGCTGCTGCTGCTGCTGCTGCTGTTTGCTGTCTCAGCAGGCTGCTGGGTTTTTTTCCTTTTCCTTGAGCTAGCGCCGCCGCCTACTAGTACAAGAAGGGCCACCTCTTCGCGCAGCGCTGCCGCCTAAGGTGAACCTAGAGAGAAGAACGCCTCCTCCCGCCTCCTCTTCCGCCGACTAACGAGTTCCGCGCGCCTGTCATGACGTCAGCTCTCCGCGGCTCCCGGTTAGCGCCGCCCGCGGCGGTTCTCGTTGTCCTGCTACTCGCCGCGGCTGGCGGGGTGCGCGGCGGATCCGGGGGGAATGCGGCGGCGGGCTCCCGCAAGCTGGTCGCGGGCGGAAGCGGGAACAGTGCCGCGCTGGCGGAGCTCGTGAAGGATTCCCCCCATGCTTCCGCGGAGGGGGAAGCGCTTGTAGTGAAGGATTCCGCGCCTTCTTCCGCCAGTGGCGATGCGGCGGAGAAGGAGGCGCTGATTCCGCCGCTGCAGCTGATCATCGCGGAAGAAGGGCGCGCGGAGGGCGCCGTGTGCTTGGACGGATCGGCCCCTGGGTTCTACTATCGGAAGGGATACGGCTCAGGACGCAATAACTGGGTTGTGTATTTCGAGGTGTGACTAATACGAATGGCTCGCCTTCCCTATTGGCTAGTACCCCATTTGCTACATTCTTCTGTAGCCCTTCCGCTCGCTTCATTTGTTATTGCACTCCTAACGCTTTCCTCCCCCTCTTATGCCCATTCCTCCTCATTGTCACTTGGTGACCCTCCTTGCTCCCTCTTGTGCAAACCACTTCCCATCTCACTTCCCCTCCCCATCCCCCTCTGCTTCCCCCTCGACTTCTTCCCCCCTATGATGCGCCAGGGCGGCGCATGCTGCGCGTTTTTGAGCTGCGCATTGCCAGTCGACTCAAAACTCCTCTCCCCATTCCCCCTCGTTTCCGCTCCCCCCCCATCCGCCAGGGCGGCGCATGGTGCGCGTCCCCCGAAAGCTGCGCGCGGCGGGCGGCCTCGCGCCTGGGGTCGACGGACCTGCGGCCGTCCGCGGCGGAGATGGAGGCGGCGCGCAGCGACAACAAGAACGGCAGCATGAACGGCATGCTGAGCAGCAACCGCACCGTCAACCCGGGTGAGGCTGCCTGCAAGGTGAACCCAGATGAGGCCTTTGCCTTGTGTGTGCTGCATCCTCCCACGCCTCCCCACGCCTCTCCACGCCTCCCCACTCTTCCCCATGCCTCCCCACTCCTCCCCATTCGTCCCCACGCCTCCTCATGCCTTCCCACTTTTCCTCATGCCTCCCCACTCCTCCCCATTCCTCCCCACTTTTCCCCATACCTCCCCATGCCCCCCCACGCCTCCCCACGCCTCCCCACGCCTCCCCATGCCTCCCCATGCCGCCCTCCAGACTTCTACAACTGGAACGCCGTCTACTTCTACAACTGGAATGCCTCCCCATACCCCATGGCGGCTCTTTTTCAGGCGACGTCGACGAACCCGTTCACTTCAATGTGAGCCGCCTCTCCTCCTCTCCTCCTCTCCTCCGCCTCTCCGCCTCTCCTCCGCCTCTCCTCCTCCGGCTTTCCTCCTCTCCGTTTCTTCTCTTTCCCCCAGGGCAAATGCAGTACATGATTTCTGTTTTTTTTTTTTGCTCTTTAACCAGCATTTCCTCCTCTCCATTACTCCTCTTCCCCCAGGGCACGACACTGTACATGAGGGGAAGGAGAATCGCGGACGTGCTACTGAAGCGCCTTCTGAATAAGATGGGGCTGGACCAGGCGGACACGGTGAGGGGGGGGAAGAGGGGGAAGAGGGCGGGGAGAGTGAGCAAGTGGGTGAGGTGAGCGAGAGGATGGGGAGGAGAAGGAGTGTGAGTAAGGAGTGTGCAGTGTTAGGGAGTGGCGCCTAAAGAGACTCCAGAGATGCAGGGTTAGTGACTTGCTTTGCCTGGACGCTCCATGCATCTCTGCTTCTTTCTCTTGCTTTCACCTGCCCAGATGCTTGTGTCGGGATGATTTTTGAAACGTCTCTGTTGCTTTCACCTGACCAGGTGCTTGTGTCGGGATGATTTTTGAAACGTCTCTGTTGCTTTCACCTGACCAGGTGCTTGTGTCGGGATGATTTTTGAAACGTCTCTGTTGCTTTCACCTGACCAGGTGCTTGTGTGAGGGTGTTCAGCGGGAGCGGTGGCTCTGCTGGTGCACTGCGATGGAATTAAAGACACTCTTAAAGCCCTCTCTCCCTCCGTGGGAGTGCGCTGCCTTGCTGATTCCTCCATGTTCCTCAACGTGTAAGACTCCTCTTCACCCCTCTTCACCCCTCTTCACTCCTCGTCACTCCTTGTCACTCCTCTTCACTCCTCGTCACTTCTGTTCTCTCCTCTTCACTCCTTTTAACCATGTGAAATGACTTCCCTTCACTCCTCTCCCTCTCTCCGCATCTCTGGTGGTCGCTCCCCTATCTCGCTCTCTTTCAACCCCTTCTCCCCGCATTCCTCTGGCTTCTCTGCGTGCAGTGCACACACCAACAGCACCAAGAAAGTGGAGAGTTTCTCATTAAAGTGGGGAGAAATTATTCCGCCCCTATTCTATTTCTTTCCTGTATCCCATCCCTGTCGTTCATGCAGTGCGGATGTCAACAACACCAAGAAGGTGGAGAGCTTCTTTATTGAAGTGAAGGACATGCATGTGAGCGAGCACATCCATCATGCATGAGTGAGCGCTGCATGCATGTGAGCGCTGCATGCCATCATGCCATCATGCCATCATGCCATCCCGATCCTCCTCTCCCCCTATCACGTTTGTTTCATCGCCACTCTCGCATGCAGAAGCTGCCCATCCAGCGCTGGTCACTTCACTTGCATGGCATATATGAAAAAGAGTTTGCCAGGGGATCGTGCCTCTCTCACTTCCCACTCTCTTGTCTCTACTTTCGCCTTGCCTGCATTGCATTCCTCAAGAACGCGATTCTCAGAGTCATCCCTTTTTCTCTCCTTCCTTTTCTCTCGGATTTCTCTCCGCATCTTCCTTCTGCCTTTAGAATCTGACTGACAGCCTCCCGGCAGCATGCATTGCTGAGCGAGAGCCAGAAAAGCACCACGAGGTGCGTTGCGCTGCTGCTCCTCTTCTAGCATGCCACGTCACCTCTTACAGCATGCCACGTCACCTCTTACAGCATGCCACGTCACCTCTTACAGCATGCCACGTCACCTCTTACAGCATGCCACGTCACCTCTTACAGCATGCCACGTCTCCTCTCCCACCATACCATGTCACCTCTCCACTATGCCACGTCACCTCTTCCAGTCTTCAATGCAAGCCGCTCTTAATAAGCAGAACGTTCACGGCACGTGCCGAATGCCATACCATTTCGCAAATTCCCTCTCCTTCCGCCCGCCCCTCTTACTCGTCTCTACACTCTTCACCCCTCTCCACCGCTGTTCACCGGGATCCACCCTCCCTCGTTCTCCTGCTTCACCCCTGACAGTGTTTGATGCCTGCCTAAACAGCTGCTGCAATTCGTCTGTTGAGTTGCCTCAAAAGCCTTTCCCTTTTTTCCCTCCTCACTTCAACCCCATGGCCCGGCAGTGTTTCATGCCCAGACAGCTGCTGCAATTCGTCCTTTAAGCCACCTCTTAAGCCATCCCACTCCCTCCCTCTTCACCCCCGGTGGCCCGGCAGTGTTTCATGCCCAGACAGCTGCTGCAGTTCGTCTCCACGCCTCTCTTCCTGATCAACAGCAACTACGACAAAGTGGCGGTGAGTTGGAGTTCCGTGTTGCGTTGTTACCTGATTACTCTTGATTCCGTCCTTCGATCCCGGCAAAATCATTCTTGCTTTCCGCGCCATCTCACAAGCCTTTTCTATAATTCGCCTGCACCTGCACCACTGTATGCTTTATGACCTCATTTAATGGCCATTAGAGCCCCGTCGGTGCAGGAGCACCCGTGGTGATGGATTTGGGCACCCTTGCTTCAAGCACCGGTTGTGACCTGTTTTTGTTTCCTCCTTGACCTGACCTGCATTTAATGGCCATTAGAGCCCCGTCGGTGCGGGAGCGCCCCTGGTGTTGGATCTGGGTACCCTTGTCCGATTACTTGTATCAAGCACCTGTAACTGTAATGACCTGCAGCTGATGGCCATTGGAGCCCCCCAGGTGCTGGGTACGGGATACCGTCACCCCCAGGTGCTGGGTACGGGATACCGTCACCCCCAGGTGCTGGGTACGGGATACCGTCACCCCCAGGTGCTGGATTACTTGTATCAAGCACCTGTAATGACCCGTTTTTTTGTTTCCTCCCTGACCCGACCTGCAGTTGATGGCCATAGGAGCCCCCCAGGTGCTGGATACGGGATACCATCACCCTCCGAATTGCTTCAACAACCTCACAGAGTGCACTCCCGCCGAGAAAGAAGTCGTTGAGAGTGAGTTCTGAGTCGACTGGAAAGGAAAGTCGCTCCGGTTGTTGCTTGCACACCAGATGGGTACCTGGGGCCTATTGCATGTTTCTGCTGCCGAGACGTGAGTCATTGAGGGCGTGTGGCATTACTGCATGTGTGTGTGAATGAGTGAGTGGGTTGGTTTTTTAGTGAATCTGTGCGCAAGTGACGAGAGAGTGAACAATATGGGAGGGAGGGAGTGTGAACACTTGATTGTGCTTCCATGGCCTTATCTTCTCCTACCCTCCTCTGCTTACCGATGACGCCTTACCTTGTCTCACCTTTCCTCACCTTGCCTCTTGCCCCACCGTGCCTCACTCCTGGGTTTCAGATTATCGGAAAAAGTTGGCTACGGCAGTGGCTCCACTCCTCCAGACCGGCGCACAGTCTGCCGCATCGCTCTCGTCGCCATCTGCACCGCTCTCCACACCTGCCAATGCCGTCTTCCTCTTCTCCTGCGTCCAGCACGGCTCCATCCACTCCGATATGACTTGGACCCTACGCACTGCAAATGGGGTGGTGCGTATCCCTTCTCTCGTTTGTTTTTCACGGTTGCAAGCATGTCATGTGTCTTGGGCCATACAGTTTGCTATACATGCACCCGTAATATCAAGTGTGGTAGTGTGTGTTTGCGAGCATGCATTGGTTGGTGGTATGTATGAAAGGATGTTTGCTCAAGAGCGTCCTCTCTGTCTTTCTTTCCAACCCATCCAACGGCAGCCAATGAACGAAGCTGTCAGCCGTTGGATGCACCCCGACAACACTGACAAGATTCATCTCATTGAAGGAGGATATCCTTGCAATTCATGCCCCATGAAGATGTGAAGTGTAACTGAATTTGTGGCGCCTCAAAAGCATGCACACCGACAACACTGCCAAGATTCATCTCATCAAAGGAGGATATCCACTCCACACAGCAATTAATCTTCATGAAGATGTGAAGTGTAATTGTGGCGGATTTTTTCCTCTTCAAGTGTAATTTAGCCTGACTGCTTTCGGCTTTGGTTGTGCAAACCCTGAGATAAGCTCCAGGGGTTGAAGCTAAGCCATGAAGCTCCTCTTTATCTTTTCCTATTTTATCGCCAGGCTGAAGACTGCTAGCCTTCCTGAAGCATTTTTTTGTTCCATATTTGTTTATCATTTTTTTGTTGTCTCATATTTAAGACGGACATATCCTGAAATTCTTAAAAGGAGTGGACCGTAACAGCATAAGTTTTCAAATCAGGAGATCCATGGTGCAGAACGTTGGAGAATCACTTCACCCAAAATGACCTGACTATTCAGAAGAGTAAATTAGTATGAACTTGATGTAAGTGGATTGGTTCAAATGAACCATGTCTACATTCACCACACTGCAGACCTTGGTATCTAGCTGAAACGAACTGAAACGTTACTTTTGTTTTTCTAGTTCCTCCTTTCAGTTTCCGCGCCTGCACGTGTCAGGTGCCCGATTGGGAAGTCCATTTTGCATGGAAGCCCGTCCCGGGTGTTCCACGCTGGCACGGAGATTTCTTCACTTCCCGCTCCCAGATTTGCGATACAATTGTCTAGATGACGCCCATCCTGTCCCGCTCCTACACTACTTCCATTCATCCCCAGATTCGAACATGACACATGCAGGGTGACGCAGTACATTAGCTCGCAATTGTCTCATCCAGTTTTGCTAGTCATTCCTGCCATGGCTTCGGTAGTTCTTTCGGCCACCTCGTCACAGTGCCTAACGTGCTCCTCGTGGGCTCGGAGCAACGTCAAAGTGAGCGGTCCAGGCACGAGGTTCTTGTCAGGGCGGCAGCTATCGCAGCCTCTGGCTAGGAAATGCGAAGTGGTCACCAGAAGAGGCCTTAGGCCTGTCGTTGCTGAGAAAGGATCTACGAGCGATTGTAAGCTCTCGAGTGACTCTGAATTTGTGTTTTTTTCGCCAGAATTATTAAATTAGAAACTTCTTGTAAGATGTATTTATGTTTCCCCTGGGCATTTTCTGGATACAGTGGTCAGCACAGCAGTGAAGATAGGCAACGATGGACTCGAGGCAGCGACGAAACTCGTTCCTGTAAGTCCTCGAGCTGGTGAACCTATAGCGTCGCGAATCAGAATTGTTTAAATGACAAATTTCCAGCTTCATCAATGTACTTCGCATCCATGTCGCCATCCTCTCCCCGTCCTATTACATGCAGGCCAGCATCCCTCGGCCAGTAGCTAAAGGCGGCGTCGCGCTTCTTTCGCTCGCCATCCTCTTGTCACTCGTTCAGACCATCTTCAACACTTTCGTCAGCCTCCTTGTAAGAGCTCGTCTTTACCTCTGTTTCGTTTTTTCCCTCTCACAACCACATCCTTGAAAAAACCCGAAGTTATTGCTCTTCGTTGATTCCGTATTTTTTGGTGGAAGGGAAGGAGGAGGAGAGGGAGGAGTGCATGATTGGGCTTGAGAAACGAGAAGGGGATCTGAATACATGTTTATTTTCTCTTATGAATGTGCATGGTTGTGCAGTTTCTCGGAGGCCTAGGATACTTAGGGTTCCAGTACCTATCCAAGGATGGCAAGAACTCTTCTGGGGCTTCAGGTGATGACCCCCTTGATGAGGCTCGCCGCATTCTGGATAAGTACAGGTAAACTGAGCTTATATCCACAAAATTTGTGATAGAACCTGGTTTGTCAAGCATGATGAACGGAAAAGCAGTTTCATTTGTGAATATTGTATGCGCCGTGCTTTTGTAGCCTCTCCAGGAACAATCAGCACTTGTGGTGTGGTCTAAACTCTTACTCTATATGCTATTTGTCCATATTATGATAAAACAATGTATACTTCCTGCTCCAACGGAAACGAATATGGGGGTGTTTCTAGAAATCTGTCGCTGTCGCGCTTTGCTTCGCAAGTCTCGAAATTGCCGTCAAATCGCATGTTCTGGAATTCGCCTGCAAACTAGAATCCTTCTTTCTCAGATTCCGCACCATCTCACGGCATGTATCCTGGGCCCCTCCTCGCTTTAGAAACCTCAGTTGTTCTTGCTGGCTCCACACAGCATCATTGACTCTCTTGGCAGCACTCAAGCTTCGATCTGCATTACTTACGTTGGGTTGCACCAGAAGCTTATTTTCGCAGCCTTGGTGTCGCTGCAAGCTGGTAGCTCCAATCTGCAGCCATGGACGCGCAGAAGATAGCAGAGCTCAAGGCCTTCGTGCAGCTCTGCCAGAAAACTCCCGCCGTTCTCGCGGACCCGAAGCTCGAGTTCTTTCGTGATTATCTTGAGAGGTTGGTGAAGTCTTGGGAAATACTGTATAAGAACATCGCTAACCTTCCCTGCCTGCGTCAATCAGTTGGCAACGACATCGAAAGGGTTGTCATGAGCAAGGGAGGGGAGGGGAATTTCAGCTGGCAAGAGATTTAGCGATCCGTTTCGGAGAAAGGAAAGGCCGACCATGGGTTCAAGCAGGGGGTTAGGACTAATCGGGGATCAAGATGACCTGGCCTCATGCCGGCCGAGCTTATGACGAATCCTATGCCGGTGTTTCTTCCGAAATGAATTTGGTCTTACCAGATTCAGATCCATCGAGTTTGGATCCGGTTTTCATTACGCCGGATGTTATTGATGTCATTACTTCGCTAGCTATTTCGGGTACCTGTCTATTGCACTCTTTCTCGCCGTGAAGTCTCTTTCCATACAAACATGCATTTCCGTCGTATGCCTATTACCTTTTTCGTCGCCCAACCCGTCGTCCCTCGTCTCTCTCCCCCATCCCTCATCCATCTTTTCCCTTTACCCTCCCGTCTCCCCTCGTCCCACTCGTCCATCGTTCATCTTCCCCCGTCGCCCTCCCCTCATCTCACTCGTCTCTCGGCCAGTCTGAACGCGGAGGTGCCAGGGGAGGCGTACGGCCTGAAGACGGGCGCCGCACCCAAGGTACGCATGGCCCCGCACCCAAGGTACGCATGGCCCCGCACCCAAGGTACGCATGGCCCCGCACCCAAGGTACGCATGGCCCCGCACCCAAGGTACGCATGGCCCCGCACCCAAGGTACGCATGGCCCCGCACCCAAGGTACGCATGGCCCCGCACCCAAGGTACGCATGGCGCCGCACCCAAGGTACGGATGGCCCCGCACCCAAGGTACGCATGGCCCCGCACCCAAGGTACGCATGGCCCCGCACCCAAGGTACGCATGGCCCCGCACCCAAGGTACGCATGGCGCCGCACCCAAGGTACGCATGGCCCCGCACCCAAGGTACGCATGGCCCCGCACCCAAGGTACGAATGGCCCCGCACCCAAGGTACGCATGGCCCCGCACCCAAGGTACGCATGGCCCCGCACCCAAGGTACGCATGGCCCCGCACCCAAGGTACGCATGGCCCCGCACCCAAGGTACGCATGGCCCCGCACCCAAGGTACGCATGGCCCCGCACCCAAGGTACGCATGGCCCCGCACCCAAGGTACGCATGGCCCCGCACCCAAGGTACGCATGGCCCCGCACCCAAGGTACGCATGGCCCCGCACCCAAGGTACGCATGGCCCCGCACCCAAGGTACGCATGGCCCCGCACCCAAGGTACGCATGGCCCCGCACCCAAGGTACGCATGGCCCCGCACCCAAGGTACACATGGCCCCGCACCCAAGGTACGCATGGCGCCGCACCCAAGGTACGCATGGCCCCGCACCCAAGGTACGCATGGCCCCGCACCCAAGGTACGCATGGCCCCGCACCCAAGGTACGCATGGCCCCGCACCCAAGGTACGCATGGCCCCGCACCCAAGGTACGCATGGCCCCGCACCCAAGGTACGCATGGCGCCGCACCCAAGGTACGCATGGCCCCGCACCCAAGGTACGCATGGCCCCGCACCCAAGGTACGCATGGCCCCGCACCCAAGGTACGCATGGCCCCGCACCCAAGGTACGCATGGCCCCGCACCCAAGGTACGCATGGCGCCGCACCCAAGGTACGCATGGCCCCGCACCCAAGGTACGCATGGCCCCGCACCCAAGGTACGCATGGCGCCGCACCCAAGGTACGCATGGCCCCGCACCCAAGGTACGCATGGCCCCGCACCCAAGGTACGCATGGCCCCGCACCCAAGGTACGCATGGCCCCGCACCCAAGGTACGCATGGCCCCGCACCCAAGGTACGCATGGCCCCGCACCCAAGGTACGCATGGCCCCGCACCCAAGGTACGCATGGCCCCGCACCCAAGGTACGCATGGCCCCGCACCCAAGGTACGCATGGCGCCGCACCCAAGGTACGCATGGCGCCGCACCCAAGGTACGGATGGCCCCGCACCCAAGGTACGCATGGTCCCGCACCCAAGGTACGCATGGCCCCGCACCCAAGGTACGCATGGCCCCGCACCCAAGGTACGCATGGCGCCGCACCCAAGGTACGCATGGTCCCGCACCCAAGGTACGCATGGCCCCGCACCCAAGGTACGCATGGCCCCGCACCCAAGGTACGCATGGCCCCGCACCCAAGGTACGCATGGCGCCGCACCCAAGGTACGCATGGCCCCGCACCCAAGGTACGCATGGCCCCGCACCCAAGGTACGCATGGCCCCGCACCCAAGGTACGCATGGCCCCGCACCCAAGGTACGCATGGCGCCGCACCCAAGGTACGCATGGCCCCGCACCCAAGGTACGCATGGCCCCGCACCCAAGGTACGCATGGCCCCGCACCCAAGGTACGCATGGCCCCGCACCCAAGGTACGCATGGCCCCGCACCCAAGGTACGCATGGCGCCGCACCCAAGGTACGCATGGCGCCGCACCCAAGGTACGGATGGCCCCGCACCCAAGGTACGCATGGCCCCGCACCCAAGGTACGCATGGCCCCGCACCCAAGGTACGCATGGCCCCGCACCCAAGGTACGCATGGCGCCGCACCCAAGGTACGCATGGCCCCGCACCCAAGGTACGCATGGCCCCGCACCCAAGGTACGAATGGCCCCGCACCCAAGGTACGCATGGCCCCGCACCCAAGGTACGCATGGCCCCGCACCCAAGGTACGCATGGCCCCGCACCCAAGGTACGCATGGCCCCGCACCCAAGGTACGAATGGCCCCGCACCCAAGGTACGCATGGCCCCGCACCCAAGGTACGCATGGCCCCGCACCCAAGGTACGCATGGCCCCGCACCCAAGGTACGCATGGCCCCGCACCCAAGGTACGCATGGCCCCGCACCCAAGGTACGCATGGCCCCGCACCCAAGGTACGCATGGCCCCGCACCCAAGGTACGCATGGCCCCGCACCCAAGGTACGCATGGCCCCGCACCCAAGGTACGCATGGCGCCGCACCCAAGGTACGCATGGCCCCGCACCCAAGGTACGCATGGCCCCGCACCCAAGGTACGCATGGCCCCGCACCCAAGGTACGCATGGCGCCGCACCCAAGGTACGCATGGCGCCGCACCCAAGGTACGGATGGCCCCGCACCCAAGGTACGCATGGCCCCGCACCCAAGGTACGCATGGCCCCGCACCCAAGGTACGCATGGCCCCGCACCCAAGGTACGCATGGCCCCGCACCCAAGGTACGCATGGCCCCGCACCCAAGGTACGCATGGCACCGTTATACTTCTGAGACGAGTCAAGAAAGTGGGCGGGGGGTAGGGGGGTGGGGGAGGGGGCGGGGGGGGGGGGAGGGGGGTGATGGGCGGAGTACATCAGCGCAGCTCCCGCTATTGAAGAAGGGTTTTGAGTCATGGGCGGAGTACATCAGCGCAGCTCCCGCTATTGAAGAAGGGTTTTGAGTCATGGGCGGAGTACATCAGCGCAGCTCCCGCTGTACTATAACTTGCAAGTGATTCTAGGCGTGGATACCTTCGCATTGGTCATCATTATTCACGTTTCCGGCTGTATATCAAACTTCCACATAGCTAAACTTACGTAATCCCATTCGATTTCAACCCCCTCTTGTGATAGGCGGAGGAGAAGGCGGAACCAAGCACGATGGAATCTGAGGCGAGCAAGGTGGAAGGAAGAGGAAGAGGAGGAGGAGCCCGAGATCGTGGAGTCAGACGTGGAGATAGACGAGGAGGGCGTGGTGGAGGGGGACGACGCCCCCCGCAGCAGATGGCTGTCAAACTCACTTCCTTTGTCTGTTTGTTTTCTTTATTTCTTTCTCTCTCTTCCTTCTTCCTTCCTTTCGTTTTTTCTTTTTTGCTTTTGTGGCAGGCAGAGGAGAAGGCGGAGGAACCAAGCACGATGGAGTCCGAAGCGAGCAAGGTGGAGGAGCCAGAGGAGGAAGAGGAGGAGGAGGAGGCGGAGATTGTCGAGTCAGACGTGGAGATAGACGAGGAGGGCGTGGTGGAGGGGGACGACGACCCCCCGCAGCAGATGGGCGATGCCAGCAAGGAGGTGGGCGAGGAGCAGAGGGACGCCGCTCAGGCCGCCAAGGCCCAGGCCATGGAGGCCCTGGCTGAAGGTGCGTTGGATAGCGCTGATTGTGCTTGATATGATACCATGCATGCGTGAGATGTGTGTGTGATGCTGCCATGAGCCGCCAAGGCCCAGGCCATGGGGGCCCTTGCAGAAGGTGCATGGGTGGTGCTGAGTGTGTGTGCTGTGTGCCCTGATACCATGAGCGTTCGTGAGCTGCCCTGGCCGCCAAGGCCCAGGCCGTGGAGGCTCTTGCTGAAGGTGCGTGGGTGGTGCCGGATGGGCTTTCTGTGCGTGCTGATACCATGATGAGTATGCTTGCTGCCCGGCGCACGCCATGAGACGCTGCACATGCAGCCAAGGCCCTGGGCATTGGAGGCCCTGGCTGAATGTGTGTGGGTGGCGTTGGGTGTGCTTGCTGTGTGTGCTGTGTGTGCTGATACCATGAGACTTGCAACCGCTTCCCCCCACCAATTCCTCCCTCCCTACTTCACCCACCCCGCTTAACCCTTCCCCGTTCGTCCACCCCCTGTGCGGTTGTGCCCATCAGGCAATCCGGAGGCGGCAGGGGCTCATTTCTTTTGCCCACCAATTCCGTCCTGACCACTCCGCCATCCCTCCTTCGCCCTCCCCCGTTCGTCCACCCCCTGTGCCCCTCTGCCCATCAGACAATCTGGAGGCGGCAGTGGCGCATCTCACAGAGGCCATTCTCAACAACCCCACCTCCGCACTGCTCTATGGCAACCGAGGTGAGCTTTGCTGTGCGGCAAGCGATGTGAGCTGCAAGCTGGGTGTGTGGCTGGCAAGCATGGTAAAATTCACCCATTGTCCCTTCCTCCGTTTCGACCCCCTTTCATTTGAATCCCATTTCGTTGCCATCAGCCCGTTCCACACCCTTCCACCTCCTTTCACCACCCTTCCACCTCCTTCCACCCCCTTCCACCCTCTTCCACCCCTTTCTACCCCTTTGCACCCCTTTCAGCTGGAGTATTTGTGCGCATGAAGAAGCCCAACGCTGCCATTCGAGATTGTGACGAGGCTCTCAAGGTGAGTGAGTAAGAGAGTGAGTAAGGGAGTGAGTGAGTGAGTGAGTGAGTGAGTGGTGAGTGAGTGAGTGGTGAGTGATTTAGTGAGTGAGCGAGTGAGTCGTGAGTGAGTGAGCGAGTGAGCGAGTGAGTGAGAGAGTGAGTGAGTCGTGAAGGAGTGAGTGAGCGAGTGAGTGGTGAGTGAGTGAGTGAGTGGTGAGCGAGCGAGTGAGTGAGTGGTGAGTGCGTGGTGAGTGAGTGAGTGACTGAGTGAGTGACTCTGGTATGCTTACACATGCTCACTTCGTGCTCTCTCCAAGTTTCATGTTTCGATCATGCGTTTCACTCACTGCGTCTGTGTTCTATTTTCCTCCAACTCATGAAGCCCAGAGCCCATTGCCTAGAGGAGCACATGTGGCGGACGTGACTTCTGAATCGATTCAACAGCCCAGCACGTACAGGGGGAGCTGAGCCCCGCACAAGCTCAAATTGATTCCTTCCTTTCCACCCCGCCTCTCCCCCTATGTCCTCCCCTTCCTCCTTCCAGCTCTACCCTGACTCTGCCTGCGCCTACAAGTCCCAGGGAGAGGCCAAGCCCCTTCTCGGGCAGTGGGAGGTGGCAGCTGCTGATTTACGCCTGGCCTCTCGCCTGGACTACGACGGGGAGGTGAACTCGTTTCTGAAGCTCGTGGAGCCCAAGGCACACCGCCTGGAGGAAGGAAGTCACTCCATCTTCCCCTCTCGCTCCCTCTGTTCCCCCGATTTATTCCAGCTCAACCCGGATTCCGCCCGCGCTTACAAGTCCCGGGGCGAAGCCAAAGCCCTATTGGGCCAGTGGGAGGTGGCAGCAGCGGACCTGCGTCTGGCATCTCGCCTGGACTACGACGAGGAGGTGAACTCGTTCCTGAAGCTCGTGGAGCCCAAGGCACACCGCCTGGAGGAGCACCGGCGCAAGTACGACCGGCTGCGGAAGGAGCGCGAGGAGCGCGTGGCAGCCAAGGAGAGGGAGCGGCGCAGGAAGGCGGCTCAGAAGGCGTATGAGGAGGAGAAGAGGCGCGAGGAGGAGCGGAAGAACGCGGCCAGAGGGGCTGGGGGTGGTGGAGGGTTCCCGGGGGGGTTTCCAGCGGGAATGGGGGGTATGCCGGGGGGTTTCCCTGGGGGGATGGGGGGTATGCCGGGGGGTTTCCCTGGGGGGATGCCGGCAGGGATGGGGGGGATGGGGGGCATGGGAGGGATGCCTGGGATGGGCGGCGGTGCGGGCGGCGGCATGCCGGATATGAGTCAGATGCTCAATGTGAGTCAGATGCTTAATGTGAGTGTATTCTAGTTGGGTGTCCTGGCTGCCATGTGTTCTGTTGAAGCTGCACACACAGCAACATGGGGATTGCCAGGTTCAACTGTTTCAAGATGTGCGCTCTTGAAACAGGAGTTTCCGATCCAGCTGTTTTCATGGTCCCATCCCCTTTTTTCACATGCATGTGCGCACATATGCCTGCTCCTTGTGTTGACCTGTTGAGTCCTGTTTATTGCTGTTTACGCATGTTGAATTTGTGACTCCTGTTGACTTGTGTTGACCCATTGACTCCCGTTGACCTGCCACGTGTGCATGCAGGACCCTGAGCTGCTCATGGCGCTTCAGAACCCCGCTGTCATGGCAGCCATGCAGGACGGTGGGTGGACAGTGGTGATGAGGGGTGATAAGGGGTGGTGAGGGGCGATGGGGGGGTAATGATGGGTGGTGATGGGTTGGTGATGGGTGACGATGGATGATGGGGATGATGGGTGATGGGTGATGGGTGATGGGTGATGATGGGTGATGGGTGATGGGTGATGATGGGAGATGATGGGAGATGGGTGATGATGGGAGATGGGTGATGATGGGTGATGATGGGTGATGATGGGAGATGGGTCATGATGGGTGATGATGGGTGATCATGGGAGATGGGTCATGATGGGTGATGATGGGTGATGATGGGTGATCATGGGAGATGGGTGATGATGGGTGATGATGGGAGATGGGTGATGATGGGTGATGATGGGTGATGATGGGTGATGATGGGTGATCATGGGAGATGGGTGATGATGGGTGATGATGGGTGATCATGGGAGATGGGTCATGATGGGTGATGATGAGAGATGATGGGAGATGGGTGATGATGGGAGATGGGTGATGATGGGTGATGATGGGAGATGGGTCATGATGGGTTGTTGGTGGTGCTTGAGGATCTGTGGTGTTGATTTGATTGTGCGTTGATGATAAGTGTTGGTTGGCGATGGTGCGTGCTGCTGCTAGATGAGGCGTTGAAGGTGGTTCATGTGAACCTCACTCATCCTCCCTCCCTCCCCCCCTTACCCCCTCCGTCAACCCCTCCCGCCCACCGCCCCCACCATGCAGTCATGAAGAACCCGGCCAATCTGCTCAAGTATCAGAATGACCCCACAGTGGGTCCAGTGCTCATGAAGCTCATGTCTAAGTTTGGTGGCGGCGCTGGTGGTGGCATGTAGAGTCATGCCGTGTGTTGAGGTCGTATCCGTCATTTTGGGTGTGAGTCAGAATGACCCCGCAGTGGGGCCAGTGCTCATGAAGCTCATGTCTAACTTCGGTGGTGCTGGCGCTGGTGGCATGTAGAGTTGTGCCGTGTAGCTTGTGAAGCTAACGAGGCTCATTTCCAAGCTCAGTGGTGCTGCTGGTGGCGCTGGTGCTGGTGCCATGTAGAGCTGTGTCACGGGCTGCTGAGGTTACATGGTCTCGATGGGTGCATGCTACTTAGGTTGGAGTTGTAGCGATAGCGTTTGTGTAGTGAATGGGTGCTTTGCAGTGGATTCTGTTATGAGGGATCATTTCTATTGGACAAACTCATCAAGTGTACACCAACTAACATAGTAGATGAGGAGAATTGTGAAGGGTGTGATTGTTGATCAGGTGCTTGTTGATTGTTGATGTTACTTAGACGAAATCCATGTGGAACTGAATATACCTTTCGATGTGGTTTCTGCAAAGCAAAAAAATATATCACATTCACATAAAGGGGTAGCCTAAGTGTATGGCGCAATGAGCGTGCTGAAAGAGGACAGCTTCAGTCAAATTTATTCAGTGTACAGTCTAGTCAGTACAGCTCAACTCAGTATACATTGCCCATATCAACACCTATCTACACACTAAGGAGTGGTGATCTTAAACCGCGTATCAACAAAGGACTCGATGTCCCACAAGAACCCCCCAAACGCGACAGCTTCCAACACAAGGCGTCGTAGAGTGCTGACGGTGAGTCGCGCCGCATCGTCCTTCACGACCGCTACGCCCTCCTCGTTCGCCTCCACCTTGGGCTTGCCGAACAGCGCCTCCGTGTGCCTCTCGATCACCTCCACGCTCTCCCTGGCGAGACGAATGAGGGGAACCGGGTACAAGGGGAGGAAAGGGAGGGGAGGAAAGGGGTACAGGGGGGAGAGGGAGGAATGAGTGATATTCCTCCTAAGCTCATGACAACTAGATGACACTAGGCGAAGAGGATGCAGAGGCCATATCGCCCTACCATCAGCGAATGCCCAGGTGCTAAGATGTAAGGCCTGTAAACCACTCCCCTAATCCCGCTCACTCCCTATCATACTCACTCCCATATCTCATCCCACCACACTAACTTCCTCCCTTCAGAACTTACTTGCTTCTCATCGTGGCCGTCATTTGCAAAGTTTCCGGGTCAAACGATTGCACATACGCGCGCAGCGTCTGCTCCGCCTTCCCTTCCCCCTTCTCTTCCCCCTCCCCTTCCCCCTCCTTCCCCCCCTCCCCCGCGCTCTCCCCCTTCACCTCCTCCACTACCTCCTCAGGCGGAAACACCACCTGCTGCGCCCCCTCCTCCCCCTCCGCGTCCCCCTTTCCCCCCGCGCTCCCCATGAAGCCCTTGAGCAACCCAATACTCTTCTCCAGCTGGAACCGTTGATCCACGCGTCGCAGAAAATACCCGTACATAATCGACGCCGCGTACACCTGTCCTAATCGCAGCTTGCTCGTCCCCACCACCACCCTGTCGTCGTTAATTAAAGCAGCCATGGGGCCCGTCGGACGCGGTCCGAGAATAGTAGCCAAATGCTCCTTAACCATGTCTAGTGCCTCCTCGGAATGCACGCTGGAAAGCTCTTGCTCTTTAACGGGGACGGTTGGAACGAGGTCCAGGCCGAAGGGTGACGTGGCGGCGGATGGGAAGAGCGTGGACGACGGATCGACGGTCACGAAGGGGACTTTTGGGAGGAGCGGCGCGCCGGATTCGATAAACTTTTGGACTATTAACGCGTACATAACCTCCTTGATTGCGCGCATGCGCTCGCTGTTCCGCACCTCCGCCATTCGCCTGCGTCGGGAAGCAGGGAGGGAGTCAGAGTAGCAGCGGGAGAGAACGGTGAGAATCAAAGCGAACGAAAGCAAGAAGAGAGCGGAGGCCAGCTTTGAAAAAATTAACGGTTCACAGCGATGCTGGAGGCCCAAGGGAAAACGCCCCATACACACAAGAATCGTCCCAAGAGGGCTTGAAGTCACTGAGAAACAAATGCATCCGCACTTCACCTAATGCGCCTCGTTTGCTCTTGTTCCTTCGCGAATTGTTCTTACAAGCACTTTTCAATGTACACTGGCCAACGCACAGCAGACTGTTCTTGGCCTTTCTTTTTTCTTGTAACGGGCGTGGCATCCAACTCACTTGTACAGAACGAGGTCGTTGCTCGACTTCTTCGCGCCGCTCTCCTTCGGCGCGTCCGCGACGCCTTGGTCTGCAGCCGGCGAGCAGGGGTGGTTCTGGCATCAATTAGACAGGCTGCAACGGCTGGCGACTGAAGCCGCTGAACCGCCATAGACGAAGCGTGCGCCATGCTTCTGTACGAGGTAAGCCGAGATATGACTGTATCAGTTAATAGAGACGCCGAGTTCGCTGGAGGTTCGAGGGGCTCAACTCGTCGTGACACAACAAATTCTTAGGGTACTTGAAGCTGAATAGTGGACTCGTACGCCAAGTCTCTCCTTGTAAATGCAAGCAAGTTCGGGATAGACGAAACACTCGTCCGAAATTCGAGGAGAGATTGAAGCCGGATTCCTAAAATGGAGGATGATGATAGTGAAAGAAAGAGAACGGAGGATATAGACGGAGATGTGACTGCAAGTGAAGCGTGGAGGAAGATGGAGGAACCGTGTGAGGCGATTGGTGGAAGACAGACTGACGACGATAACGAAATTTCGAGAAACAGCCAGAGCACACGCAACCGCGTCACCGGCAAAGAATCCTGTCTACGTGGGGGTTTGACGACGTGTCGATCGCTCACGTGCAGGTTGCAGTGTGCGGATTGCGGCATTCAAGTGGTACACGTGGATTCGTGTAACGATTGTTGGGATGAAATAACACATGGCGTACCGTGCGAAGCTCAAGGAATTCTGTCGACTCAGCAGGCAGGTGAGACTGCAGACGCTCCGTTAGCTGACCAAGAATCGAGGCACCAGCTACGGTGACATCAAATGGTGTAATCCTTTTCCGAAACAAAAACACGACTAGATACGCCAATGCGTTAAGGATATACGCTTATCGAATACACCCTGTTTTTCAACTTTCTGACAATCGGGAGCCCGGGCTACAGTGCGAACGTGCGCTTGGATTTTGCGGGCTGGTGCTTGCAGCCGAACCCCAGGTAGGTGGCGGGCAAATGCAGTCCATTTGAACGATACAAAACGTTTTATGACAGAACATTGCTATCGCGTACGGTTGAGTGCGGCAAATTGTGCTTATATGCAATGTTCTGGGACCGTTTTGGACGCGTTGATGTCAGAATAGACGGCATGTCAATACAGCGAATGTCAGTGTGGCGCGAAACAGGGTGTACGCTTTACCCTTCCAGTTTCGGTGGATGTCAGGTTCAGCCGGCGAATCTACTTCTCTCCCTCCACCCATTGTGAATCCCAACCAATCCCTGTGGTATTTCCCTGTGGCAGCTTGGTGTGCCATGCGATGACACAGCTCCACCTCTGATCTCCCCGACCTGACGTTCACACGGGACGGGAGAAGCGAGTGTGGATAAGAATTGGTCCGAGATAGTCACCCATTACCACCTTCCGCTTCCGCTTCCGAGATAGGCGGCTCTGTATACTCTTTATAGTGTATCATTGCATTAAAAAAAAAAAAAAAAAAAACCACCTTCCGCTTCCGGTACTTAGGTCTACGTGGACTAACATCACCGTTGATCATAATCTATCGTTTAACTTTCGAAATAGTCACATCAGCCTATCTATGTCGACGTTGAATGTCACAGCTGTTACATTGTTTTCGGCCCTTTAAAATGGCGATTTTTAACTAGCGTATCTCACGTTGATGATGAATCGCGGTCCGGGTTACTGGAGAGGCTTCAGGGGTTCCCGAGCAGCGTTTAAGAAGCAGGCCAAGTTCAAGGCGTGTCAGTCGATACTCCTCTGCATTCTCGTCTTCTTTGTTATTCATGTCATTGTAAGCCACCAAAACCGAGTTAAATTTTGAGTCGACTCTAAGTCAACTTTGTCCTTCATGTGATTGTAAGCCACTGTAGTTTGCAAGCATGATCTCCAACGTCGTCCTCTTCCCCCTTGCGTAATCCGGTTCTGAGGATCCCCAAGTGCAACGCCCTAAGAATTAATGGAGGTTTCTGGATGTAACGACCTACCACGCGGTCGTCTCGAAGTGTACCTTACCTTGATACACTGAAACCTTATAACGACTGAAGCATCCGTTATCCTCTTGGCTCTAAACAGGCGAATGTCTTGGTTGCAAGGCAACCGAGCTCCCGCCTTGTTTCATGATATCGTGCAAGCATTAGCCCAGTATCGCAGATCCGTTCGCTGCTTCGTTCCTGACACGTGCTTCGTATGCCTGACACATGACGACGAGTGTCCGTGACACATGTCAGTCAGAGGGACGTCATTGTATCCCTGTGTGTGTCTGACCGTGTGTGAACGGATGATATTTGGGGTCGGCATTGACGTGGCTTTTGGGTTGACTTCTGGACATGTACTCAACGTGTTCCCTTGTAACCTGTACTGAGTCCATTCATGCGTCTACAACGCGTACGTGTGCTCTCCTGTCCCGTTATTGTGCACAGTTCACATCGTCCAAGAGGTCTGCGTCAACGCAGGCAGTGAACAAGCTCAAGAGCCTCACCAAGAGACTGCCGGAGGTGGGTTAAGGGCAAGGGGCAAAGGGCAGGGGACAAGGGGCAAGGGGAAAGGGGAAAGGGGAAAGGGGAAAGGGGCAATTGTCCGCGTCAACGCAGGCAGTGAACAAGCTCAAGAGCCTCACCAAGCGACTGCCCGAGGTGTGCTAGGGGCAAGGGGCAAGGGGCAAGGGGCAGGGGTCAAGTCCACTCGCATGGCCTTTTTGCATTCACCCTCTCTACAATCACGTGAGACCTGCTAGAAGTACAGCTTAGTGACTCGCATTCAACTCAATTCTTTGCTGTCCTGTGCTGCTTGTGTTGTGTCCATGCTGTGTGGTTGCTGCTCCGTTCAGGCAGGGGCGAGCAGCCGTTTGGCCACGGCAACGCAGGCCATCCACCAGGAGATCAGTGAGTGGCGCCTCTCCCCTCCCTCCATTCAGAGGTGACTTTTGAATCGACTCAAATGTCTTTCTAGTCGACTCAAAAGCGGCCCTTTGGCCACGGCAACGCAGGCCATTCAACAGGAGATCAGCGCCTCTCCCCTGCCCCCTTTGAATTCGTCCTCGTCGCTTTCTTTCTTCGACCTTCTACTTTATTTGACCTCTTTCCGAATTACCCTGTGTTGTCCATCCCATCCCAATTTGGTGGGCGCAACAGCAATGATTGCCCTTCACACGCCCCATTCACATCTCTCTCGCACATCCCCTCTCATTCCTCGTTTGCCTCAAACACCTCTAATCGCTTTCTGCACTCTGCACCGCGTGTTTGACTCTTGGAACCTCTCTGCACTCTGTGATCCCACTCTTCCCAATTTTTCCAAGATGCGATTTCATATTACAAGCTCAAACCCCTCCTCCCCGAACCCGCCCAATTTGCTCCTTCAAAATGCTTTCCTCCCAAAATCCATTGAAAATGCTTTCTCAGAACACCCGTCAAATCCCTTTTAACCAACTGGGACCCTCCGTCACTCATGCGCCTGTCTTTCCTTACCTTCCCCCACCAGGTGCGAGGATCACGGAAGCCACGAGCATCACAGCAGACGAGCATACGGCTCATGGCGACCCAGGCGGCGCTGTTGGTGGAGGAGGATTTCTTGGGAGCCGATTGGGTGGCGGAGGGATGGGGACAGGGGGGGTGGCGGGAGGAGGGTTGGGAGGGAGATTGGGGAGAGAGCAGGCGGCAGGTGAAGTCGCAGGAGGTGTAGCAGTTGGAGTGGGGGGAGGTAAAGGGAGTGGATTAAGAGGAGACACAGGGGCGGAGGCAGGGCGAGGAGCAGAGGAGGGGAGTGGGGTTGAGGTGGAGGAGGAGGAGGAGGAGGGGGACGGGGCTCACCACAGGGACCGAGGGTGGGATGATAGCAGAGGGCGGGAGGAGGGCGCAGGGCAGCAGGAGGGGGGTGGGCAGCAGGAGGGAGCAGGGAAGCATGAGGGGCAAGGGCAACATGACGGGCAAGGGCAACGTGAGGAGGGAGCAGGGGACGGGGCGGAGGGGGAAGACGTGGAGGAAGGGCATGGAGAGGGGAAATCGGAGGAGGAGAAGCAGAGGGAGCTGGAGCTGCTACAGGGGCTGCTTAAAGCGGAGATGGACGCGCAGGGTGGGGGGAGATGGAAGGGTGAGGGGAAGGAGGACCATGGGGGGAAGGAGGGGAGTGAGGGGAAGGGGTCAGGTGAGGAGGAGAGGGATGATGAAGAGGAGGAGGATCCGGATGAGACAGAGCGATGGGGAGAGGGGAGACAGGGAGTGGGAGGAACGGAGGAAAAGGCTGAGAGGGAGAAGAGCGAGAGGGAAGGAGCGAGGGATAATGGTGTGGGTGGTGGTGGTGGGGATGGTGGTGGTGCTGGGCATGGTGGCAAGGTGGCATCAGAGTCGACAGGGAGGGCAGCAGTGGGTGGGGGCGGGGGAACTGCACGGGCAGATGGTGGTGGGGCGCGTGGGGGGGGGGGAGTACAATGAGTGGGAGGAGGAGGGGGTAGTGGCGCGCTCACAGGGCACGGAGGAAGGGGGAGGCGCAGGGGCTGCGAGGGAGAGAGGGAACGGCAGGGAGATAGGGCGTGAGGATGCAAGAGGGAAGGAGGGGGGGGAAGGAGAGGCGGGGAGTAAGGGCGAGATTGAGAGTGGGAGTGAGCATGATGAGATAGCGTCAGTGCTGAGAGCCATGGGGCATGCGGTTGGGGATGATGGTGCTGATGCCCATGATGCTCATAATGCTCATGATACTCATGATGCTCATGATACTCATGATGCTCATGATACTCATGATGCTCATGATACTCATGATGCCCATGATGCTCATAATGCCCATGATGCTCATAATGCCCATGATGCTCATGATGCCCATGATACGACTGGTGATGCTGATGCTGCTACTGATGCCGATCACAGTATGCCTGCTGGTGCTGGTGGCGCTGCTGGCGCTGCTGGTGGCACCAACTCGCTGCACGAGGAAAGCACACAGCGAGGTGTGAAGCCAGAGGAGGGCAGAGAGGCAGTGCACCAAGGGAAGGAGGAAGGAGTGGAGGAAGAGGGACCAGACGGGGAAGCGGGTGGAGAAGAAGAGGAGGAGGGCACGTCGGTGGCAGTGGAGAGGGGCCAGTCGGACCAGCGCAAGCAGCTCATGGAGCAGGAGGCTGCTAGACGTGGCGTGCCCTTGGCTGGCCACAGAGGAGCACCAGCAGATGCAGGGCATCTGGGAAACAGAGGGTTGGGAGGGGACGTGGGGCTGGTAGGGGGTGCGGGACGGGAACCAGACAAATCCTTGAGTGTAGAGACACGAGCAGCAGCAGCAGAGGCCGGAGCAGCGACAGGGTCAAGAGGGGAAGGAACAGTAGTGAGTGAGAGGATGGAACAGCTGGGGGGAAAGCAGGCTGTTACGGGCTGGGGTGGGTTGTCGAGAGGTGAGGGCCTGTCAATGCGTGCTGCCCTGCCCAGGGAAGGGGCGCTGGCAGAGGCACGTGTGGGTGCAGGTGCTACTGGGGCAGGTGTGACTGGAGCAGGTGCGACTGTGGCGGGTGTAACTGGCGCAGGTGTGATTGGGGCAGGTTTTGCTGGGGCGGGTGTGACAGCGAGGCAGCAAGAGACAGGCCGAACAGAGCATGCGGAGACAAGACAGCAAGGCGTGTCTGGGTGGGCTGGTTTGTCCGTTAGTGGGGCAGGTTCATCTGTAGGCGGGCGGGTGGACGAGGAGGAGGCGAGGAGGGCGGAGCTGCAGCAGCATGGGCGGGCGCACTCGGTGGAGGAGGGCGAGAGGCAGCAGGTGCTGCACCAGGCGTACCGTCAGCAGCGGCTGCAGCGGCACCAGCAGTGGCAGCAGCAGCAGGACGAACAGCAGAGGTTTCTGCAGCAGCAGCAGCAGCAGCAACAGCAGCAGCAGCAGCCACTGGGGCAGCAGGGGCATTGGGAGGGTAGTGGTGTTGGACTGGCCGGAGCAGGGGCAGGGGCAGGGGCAGGGGCAGGGGCAGGGGCAGGGGGGAGAGCAGGAATAGGAGAAGGAGCAGGCACCCTTTCTGAAGGGGCAGGGGGGATGGCAGCAGGTGTTGCTGCGGGACCGGCGATCTCCCTGGCCCACCCAGAGGACTTCCTGGGCGAACCTGAGGAAACACCTGAAGAGGCCTTAGAGAGCGCTGCTAGGAAAGCCAAAGCCGCTGCTGCTGCTGCTGCTGCTGGTGCAGGAGGGGAGGGAGGCGTAGGGGGAGGAGGAGGGGAGGGGGAAGAAGACGGAGCAGGAGGTGGTGGAGAAGAGGTGGCGGGGGGAGTGGGTATGGGGGAGGGGGGTTTGGGGGGAGGGGAGGACGAGGAGGATGGGATGCTGCTGCGGGGGGAGTTTCTGAAGGCGAGGAAGGAGAGTGCTCCCCAGGGGCAGCGAGGAACAGGGCTCGTGCAGCAGGGAGGGGGACTTGTGCCGCCACAGGAGCAGCAGCTGCAACAGCAGCAACAGCAGCAGAAAATCCTGCAGCAGCAGCAGACGGGGACGGCTGCTTGGCAAATGGGAGGTTCTGCTGGTGGTGTTGGTGTTGGTGGTGGTAGTGCTGCTGGTGGTGGCGTTGGTGGCGGTGCTGCTGCTGGCGTTGCTGGTGGTGGCGTTGGTGCTGGTGGTGGTGGGTGGAGTGCGATGAGAGCAGGTGGGGCGTTTGGTGGAGGGGGAGGGGGTACCTATGGCAAGGGCCCCGAGGAGGTTGTATCTGGTGCAGGCCGGACTGGCGGCTCAGCTGCTGCTCTTGCTGCTGCTGAAGGAAGAGCAGCTATTGGAGCAGCAACAGGAACAGCAACAGGAACAGCAGCAGGAACAGCAGCAGGAGAAGCAATGGCAGGGGGAGAAGCAGGACGGGGTGCAGCAGAAGCAGCAACAGCAGGAGTCCAAGCAGTGGAGGTGAAGGAGGAGAGGGGGGAGGTGCAGGTGCCGGTGGTTGTGATTGTATTGAAGCCTCGCGTGGGCAAGTGCGCTCCTGGCACCGCGCTCCATCGAGTGCTGCAGGTGGGGCCAACCCCTCCCCTATCCCCATCCCCATGTCATGTAAGCTATGTTCAAAGAATTCTCAGAAACCGCACTCTATAAAGTGCTGCAGGTGAGCACATCCCTGTCCCCATTTTCCTCCCCATGTGAGAAAGTACTGCGAATTCTAGTGCTGCAGGGCTGCCGCATCCTCATCCCCATCCCGATCCCCATGCCCATGCCCATCCCCATGCGCATCCCCACCCCCATACCCATGCGAGCTATTCGTGAGAATTCTCAATACCGCGCGCGCTCCATCAAGTGCTGCAGGTAGTCCCCACCACTACCGGCCTATCCACACCGCATCCCCCCCCCTCCCTCCCTCACAGCAAGCCCGGCAGCGCAACAGGGAGGTGCATCTGGTGGGGCCGCGGGAGTGTGCAGCAGCAGCGGGCGGCCTGGGCGTGGCATTCACTTTTGAGACGTCTCAAAAGGCATTCATGCGCTACGCCCTCTTCAACCATCCCACCCCCCACCCTCCCCCCTCTCTCCACGCAATCCCCCCGCCATTCCCGCTCTTCTCACATTCACAGCAAGCCCGGCAGCGCAACAGTCAAGTGCATCTGGTGGGGCCGCGCGAGTGTGCAGCAGAAGCGGGCGCCATGGGGGTGGCATTCTCACGCTACGCTCTCTTCAACCAAACCATCGCCGCCTTCCGCTCCTCCTTTGGCACTCCCCGTACCGACCTCGTGAGTTGCTCTTTACTTTTCCAGGGTGTTTTCGGGAACTCTCAAAAACGCGCAGCAGCATCAATGACGGCCCTGGGGGGTGGCATTCACCTTTTGAGACGTCTCAAAAGTTTTTGACAACTCTAAAAAACGCCCAGCAGCAGCAGAAATGACGGCCCTGGGGGGTGGCATTCACTCACTGCGCCCTCCTCAACGGCTCCATTGCTGCTTTTTGAGTCGACTCAAAAGCTGCCACCATGGGGGTAGCAATGCATTCACCCCATATGCCCTCCTTTGGTGCTCCCCACACAGACGTCATGAGTTCCTGCTCTCCCTCCGCATGCTCTTCCTGCCCGCACCTGCTTCTCCTCTCTCCTATCCCTCCTTTCCTCCCTCTCCCTCTTCTGCCGCACGCTCTGATTTTCTGTCCGTATCTGGATCCTGCGTCTCTCCTTACATGTCCCTCCCTCCTCCCTCCTCCCCTTCCCTTTTTTTACCCCATTTCCCGCCTTTCCCCCCTCTATCCCCCCCCCCCCTCCCTTTCCCGCCGTTCTCCCCCCCCATGCACGTCAGGTGCGTTGGTTCGTGCTGCAAGCCTACATGACTAGCAACAACCTCTCCCACGCCCTCTACCTCTCCCCGTACCCCCCTGCTCTGCTCCCTTCCTTCCCGTCCTCCCCACTTTCCCCTCACCTCAACTCCTCCCCATGTATAACAGGTGCGCTGGTTTGTGCTGCATGCCTTCATGACTCGCACCAACCTCTCCCACGCCCTCTACCTCTCCCCGGACGTCCTTCTCTTCGCCAACGCCACCGAAGCTATCAACCAGGTTCGGCACTATATTTTTGCTTCTTAATCCACCTAAAAGCCATTTTCTGCATCTCAGTCCCTTATCTCCTTACTTTGATCCTTACACTATGCCCCCCTCCCCGCTAACCTTCCCCTCTTTCCCTCCTCCCCCCTTCCCCCTTCCTCCCTTCCCCCCTTCCCCCCTTCCCCCCTCCCCCAGCTGTACCTCCCCCACGAGCGCCACTTGCTCCTCCCCCAGCCCTTCCCCGGCACACGCTTCCCCCGCCGCACCACCCCCTCTCCACACACGCCCATTGAGGCACACACAGCGGGTTGGTCCAGTGAAGGGCTGGCGGACTTCCTGAGATTCGTGCGCGTGTTCGTGGCGCAAGGGGTGCTGGGCGGGGGTGAAGGGACACCTGCAGAGCGATTGAAAAACCCGGTGAGTTTCTGTGGCTGGGGCTCTTTCCCCACGCGCTTTAGCCCCCACTCCCCGCACACGCCCATCGAGGCGCACATAGCAAGGGCTGGCAGACTTTTCGAGATTCGTGCGCGTGTTTGTGGAGCAAGGGGTGCTGGAGGCGAGGAGGGGACTCCTGCGCAGCGACTCAAGAATCCGGTGAGCTGGTGTGCGGGACTTGAGGGGCACAGCTGCGCGTGTTTGTGGCTCAGGGGGTGCTGGTTGGGGGGGAGGGGAGGGGACTCCTGAGGGGGCTCCTGCAGAGGTGTGGTGCGCTCAAGAACCAGGTTTTGAGATTTCGACAAAAACAAAACGTTTTTGTGGCGCGACTGAAGAGGCCCTTTGAGTTGAGTGGACGTGGGTGGAGCTGCTCCCACCGCCGCCAGCTCACACTCACTCATTCTCACTCACACTCTCACACACTCGCACTCAGTCCAACTCACACTCACTCACTCCCACCGTCTCCTCTAGGGCTATTCGAACGCCATGCTGGGATGGTGTGCACACAATGCATGCTGGCACACCCTTGGGAGCGCTGAGACCTCCCCTGCTTGTGCAACGGAGCTGTGTTGTGGGATCACTCACTCCCACCCACCGTATTCCTTCCCCACGCCTCTAGGGCCATTCGAACGCCACCATGCTCGAATGGTGTGCTCGCCATACATGCTGGCACACCCCTGAGAGCGCCAAGGCCGCCCTGCTGTGGGATCACTCTCACCCTCACTTTTACCCAGAAATGAAACAGCAGAGATAAGATTGCGACCATGATCCTCCCCCGTGCCTCCAGGACTACTCTGACGCCACCATGCTCGGATGGTACGCACGCCATGCATGCTGGTACGCCCCTGGGAATGCGGAGGTCGCCCCTGCCTGTGCGGCAGAGCCGTGTTGTGGGATCACCCGCGATAGAGCTGCCAGGCTGGCTGGCCGCTTCACGCCTCGGTGAGTGCACTTGTGTGTGTGAGTGGAGAGGGAATGCTCGTGTGACTAGGAGGACTTTTGAGTTGTTGAAAGTCAAAATGACTGTGTGTGAGTCACCTGGGAGTTCTGAGCGGTGTTGTGGCCGCTGCCGCAAGCTCGATACATTGAACCTGGCGACTTCACTCCCAAGTGAGCTGAGGGGACCTGTATGCGTGAGTGTGAGTGAGGGAGGCTGCTTGAACCTTGCTATTTTTTCCTCTCGTCCCTGCTCCTGTCCAGGTTCAATGTATCGAGCTTGCTGCAGCCTCGTCAATGCCGAGCCACATCATGGTCGGACGACGGGTGGTGTGTTTTCTCTGTTTATCCATTTCCTCCGTCCACAATTGGCACGTCAGCATCTGGAGGGATTATTCAGCCAGCTCAGCGGCTCTCATTTCATCCTAAACAAGGCACGAAGCTTCCGCGCTCAGCCAAGTATCGGTATTTCAGCTTTTGGAAGCCAAGAGGGGACAATGGAGACGTCGTGAAAGGTCCAGGCGCGAATGGGGTGCAGTTTTTGTCAGTGCGCTTCGCTGGTGACGCTGCAAATCAAATGCTTGCGGATCCAGAAACTACATGGGGAGCTGCTGATTGGTCCAGTGAGATGCAGTCTGGGCCTCTGAAAGTAGGAACTGACGATGGGGTAAGCATGAGGGATAAATATTAATGAGTAGGTAGGTGCTAGGTAGTGTAGGTTTTGTAATAAAAACACTGTACTGTAAAGGCACTTCAAGTTATCGAGCCAATGAGAATCGCTTACTTTTCCGGAGTCAAGCCTTGCGCCACTTCAGCAAGGTGTCGTTTCTCGCTGCCGCATATCCCGGACTGTACAGCGTGGCAGTTTTAGCCGCCAATACAGCATGTGCCAGCCATACACCGTCGTCAAGCTGTGCTCTTTCCACGTGTGAGTGAATATATTCCATCCAACGGGAATTACGGCAGCCAGGGTAAATCAGCGAATGCCTGTCAGCGGAAGACAGGGTCAGAAATCCTCGAGGGTCCCTTGCTGGCGAAACATTATCCATTCTAATGCTACTGCACGACGAGGCACGGACACTTCTAACTTGGTAACTGGACCTCGCAAAAGTCGGTGTGTGAAATTCGTCGTTCATTCTGCTCAAATCCGCCAGCACAGCAGCAACCACCACAACCACCATCCCCGTCGCTCGCGCTGAACAAGCAGGCTGCGCCGCTGCTAGAGTAGTCGCTTCTGGACTCTCCTCTCGGTGTAGTTCCTCCGCATATTGCCAGATCCAATTCGAGCATCGATCACATCTGCTCTCACTTTCCACGTCGACGGTCTGTGAATCAGGGCCCTTGGTAACGCTTTCTGCTGCGCGTACTGCGCAGCGTTGCCCATTCTCAGTCGTTGACTTGGGACAGAGTAAGCAGGCTGCGCTCTAAGCATTCCGCGAGCTTCAAGGTGTTTCAAGATTCAGGACAGAGTAAGCGGGCTGCTTTTCCGAAAGAATTCCGCCAATATGGCGTCATCTCTCGCGGCGGCTTGCGGCGCTGACGTCATCGTTCCCGCTCGCGCGCACCGCGTTTCTTCGCAATGTTCGCACTCGTCGTCTTCGATGATCGCAATCGTTCAGAGCAGTCGCACGCTTCCGGACGGCGGTCGCAGAACGACTTTCTGGGGATTTCAGAATTCTTTGGATTTGAAAAGACTCCCGAATACCAAGATCTCAAATTTCAGCCGTGAGACGGCTCGATTGACGGTGACGCGCGCACAGAAGGGCGGCTCGACCGGCGGAGCGGGAGCGGGAGAGGCGGGCGGGGCGGCTTCCGTGGGGGCGGCAACGTCGTCGAGCGACTCGTTTCTGGGGATGTGGAAGCGCGCGCAGGAGAAAGAGCGCGAGGCGGTTCGCGAGGCCGAGGCGCGGAAGCGCGCGGAGGAGCAAGGCGCGGCGCAAGCGGCGGGGGACGAGCAGGAGAAGGAGGCGGGGGAGAGCGCGGATGTGGTGAAGAAGCGCGAGGCGCAGTTCCTTCAAATGCTCGAGGTACGGTGGTTTAGCGATATCGAGGTATGGCTGTATCGAGGTGTGACGATATCGAGCTACGACACGTCTAGATCGACTTTCACAGCATGTTGTTCCGGAAATAAAATAAAATAGAAATAAAAATAACGAAAATGACGGTATTCTCGGAAGCATAAGACGGGTTACCCGTAAGCCCCCGGCCCCGTTCGTCGTCCGCTAACGCGCTCGCACGAGTCAGTCCGCCAAGGGATTCCGCCAAGCGGCGTAGGGGGAAACAGTCAGTGTCTGGCCGCGCAGTCGCGCGCACTTCTGGCGGAGGCGGAAGAGCGCGGAATAGACTGAGTCGGCGTCTTGCGCGTTTAACTCCCTCGCACAAGCTTGTCGTTCCGTCCGCCCGCGCGCGCTGACGCCCCCAGGTGCCCGAGCAAAGTTGGTATCTTGTACCTCTCTTTCCGCCCGCCCTTCCGCCCCCCCCCCCCCCCCCCTCTCCCCCCCTCTTCGCCCCGCGAGCGTGCACGCGCAGGTGCCCAAGGAGGTGCGGCAGGAGGCGGAGCGGAAGGCGGTGGTGGACCGCGCAGCCGCGGCGCTGGCGGCGGCGCAGGCGCTGCTGGTGGAGGCGGAGGAGCGCGCGCGAAAGGACAGGCAGGCGTCGCGCGGGCGGCGGCTGGCGGGCGCGGGGGACCAGGGGGCGACGAGCAGCGTCTGGGGCGGCAAGTCCTTGTCCGTAGTGAAAGAAAAGGGCGGGAAGAAGGGCGGGGAAGGAAAGGCGGCAGCAGGAGGAGCAGCAACGACAAAGGCAGCTCCAGCGGGCGGCACAGGTGGTGGTGGTGGTGCTGCAGGTGCAGCAGCAGCAGGAGGGTTAGGTGGCTTCTGGAAAGCCATCCCTAGCCGAGCTAAGAAGTCATCTTCTGGCTCTTCCTCCTCCTCAGCACCCGCAGCAGCACCAGCAGCAGCTGCCCCAGCACCCAAGCCAGCCTCCCCTGGTGCTGCGAAGCAGCCTTCCTCAGGCGCCTCCTCAGGTGTTTCTTCAGGTGGATCCAGCAGTCCAGGGCCCAGCTTCTGGGAGTGGGCGCCCCCATCCGACACTGGGGGAGCAGGTCTCCCGCAGCTGCAGCCAGCTGCCCCGAAACCTGCCCGTTCAGCTGCCCAGCGAGCTACAGTCACCATCGCGGACCCCCAGCCACAGCTGCTAGAGGCCCTGCTGCTGCCGTTTGAAAGCGCCGTCGCGCCCACCAAACCCGCTAGCGCGGGCGAAGCTTCTACTACTGCTGGCGGTGGCACTGGTGCCACCAGTGGTGCCGGTGGTGCCGGTGGTGCCGGTGGTGCCGGTGGTGCAGCTGCTGCCGGTGCTGCTGCTGGTTCTGCTGCTGCTGCTGCAAGCCCTGCGGCTGTTGCTTCTGCAGCAGCGCTCGATCTCGCCTCCGCCTCGCCTTTCCTCGCCTCTGACGTCAGCCTGCCGCCCCTGCAGTCCGCTCTTGAGGCCCAGCGCGGCATCAAAGAGGCTCTCCAGGCCGTCTTTGCAGGCTCGGACGCCGCCGAACCTGCAGGCTCGGAAGCCGACGGGGCGACCGTGGCTGCAGACGGGTCGCGGTGGTGGAAGGAGTCGGGCACCGAGGTTCGGGAGGGCGGGGAGGTTTGCGATTGGACGGTGGTTCGGGGGGTGAGCGCGGATGGTTCGGTGGAGTGGGAGGAGAAGTGGTGGGAGGCGAGTGATGAGTTTGATTTCAAAGAGCTAGGAGCGGAGAAGTCCGGGAGGGATGCGAATGGGGCGGTGTGGAGGGAGACGTGGAGGGAGGCGACTTGGCAGGACTCTAAGACTGGGCTGATGCATATTGAGAAGACGGCGGATAAGTGGGGGCAGAACGGGGAGGGCGGCGAGTGGCATGAGAAGTGGTGGGAGCATTATGATGCGACGGGGCGGGCGGAGAAGTGGGCTGATAAGTGGAGCAAGATTGACATGTACACGCCGCTGTATGACGGGCACGCTCACACGTGGCATGAGAGGTGAGTGAGGAGGGGAGCAGGCTTCAAGTGGTGTGGCATGTGCCTTACCAGCTGATCTGATCTGGTGGTCTCACTACTTCCATGCCTCCCGTCCTTCCTTCGTCAAACATCGCTCCCTCCTTCATCCCTTGTGAGATATCCTACGCGACGACCAAAATACGACGGCACCGGAGCAAGGTGACTTTTGAGTTGACTCAAAAGTCACTTCATCCCTTGTGATATCCCACATGACGAGCAAATTCGACGGCACCGGAGCAGCATCCAAGTGTGGTGTGTGTGACAAGTGCGACACAGAGTGTCCCTCAACTTTTCATATATCCTCGTGCCGTGCCTTCCCGCTTACGCCAGGTGGGGGGAGGAGTACGACGGAAGGGGAGCAGCGTCCAAGTGGTGTGACAAGTGCGACAAAGAGTGTCTCTCTGGGTCGACTTGTCTTAGCTGTATGCCATGTGTGTCACTTTCCTGATCTTTATCCCATGTGTATCTTATCTTTACCAGGTGGGGGGAGGAATACGATGGCAGGGGTGCTGCCTCGAAATGGTGTGACAAGTGGGCAGAACGCTTCAAAGGTCATGACGGGTACGGCAACCAGCTGTGGGCCAAGTGGGGCGACAAGTGGGACGAGAAATTCAACCGAGACAAGACCGGATACCGGCAGGGCGAGACCTGGTGGCAGGGGTCGGGAGGGGACGATGCGCCGCGGTGGAACAAGGTGTGGAGTGAGGGGCATGACGGGTCGGGATGGGTGCATAAGAAGGGCGGCGCGAGCAGTGGCGAGGGGTGGGATGTGCGGGAGTGGATGGACACGTGGTTTGACGCGTTCCCGCACTTTGGGTTCAAGCAGTGCTTGGAGAACTCGAGGAGGCTCATGGAGGTGGGCCGGCGGCAGGGCAAGAAGCAGAAGTAGAGGAGCGGGACGGTTGAAACAAGGAGGGTGCGTGTGTGGTTGACTGTAGCACGGCCCCTACTTTGGGTTCAAGCAGTGCTTGGAGAATTCGAGGAGGCTTATGGAGGTGGGCCGGCGGCAGGGCAAGAAGCAGAAGTAGAGGAGGAGAGGAGGGTGGGAGGCGGGGGGAGTAGGGAGGGAGGTGGGTATGTGAGCGGTTGATTGTACGTGTCGAATCGACTCAACAGCAACTTTGGTCAAGCAATGCTTGAGAGAACAGGCTGATGGAGGTGGGGAGGCAACAGGGGAAGCATGTGGCCCTGTGGATTGGTGGTAATGCATCTGAAGCAGGGGTGGGGAAAGGTGGTTGGTGGTAATGCATGTGGTTTTGTGGATTGGTCGCAGTGTATCTGGCTTCTGTGTGTGTGGCTCGCTGCATTGCTGTGCACATGCAGATGGAAAGCTGAGCAGGGTAGCGAAAGGCGGTGGTAATACATGTGGCCTTGTGGATGGGTCATGGACTCATGGATGGTGCATTCGTGTGGATGTGCCTCGCTGCACTGCTGTGCACATGCAGCGGGTATGCATGTGTGGCATGGATGGTTGTGATGAAGGTGGTTCAAGGGATGGGTGGATGGTTGAAAAAGGCTGCTGTGTTGTGGGACCGAGCAGTGTTGCCTACAGAGCAACATGATACAATTATATAGTACAGTAGTTTGATTTGCCTTTAAAAGCTCAAGCCATTCCATCTAGCACTTGTAACTGAAAGTGACCTAGCTAAAGAGTTGGAAGGCAAAATTGCTTTAGAAAAGCACTGTTGTTACACTCGTGGGGCTGGCACATTAAAGAAGTCGCCTGCGCTTTTCTTACGGTATTGCTTCTTGCCGCCGATGCCGATGATGACCTTGAAGGCACCATAGGCAGTGGCGCCCATGAGAAAGACCACCACAATTGGGGAGGGACTTTTGATGCCACAGCCTGTCAGGTCAAGCATGCTTGATCTATCTACTGCTTCTTGCCGCCGATGCCGATGACCTTGAAGGCACCGTAGGCAGTGGCGCCCAGGAGGAACACGGCCACCGTGGGGGAGAAGGCGGGGTAGACCAGATCCATTGCCATCTGATCCAGCTCCTCCGATAGAAAGCCTGGGAGGGGCGAGGGCAGTTCGGTGAGGGCAGTGGAGGGGTGAAAAGGGGAAAACGAGCCGTTGAGGCTCCACGGATCGAAGGCGGGATACACCAGTTCCATTGCCATCTGATCCAGCTCCTCCGATGATAAGAAGCCTGGTAGCGAAATGAACAGAGCAGGGGAGGGGGTTGAGGAGGGAGAGAAGTGGTTTGGGGCGACGAGAGGTTATGAAGAGAAGGCGGGATACACCAGCTCTGGTGATAAGAAGCCTGGTGGGGACGAGGGAGAAACCGGGGCCGGGAAGGCGGGGGAGGGGAGGGGAGGGAGGGGAGAGGCTTGGGGCGATGAGGTGGTATGGAGAGAAGGCGGGGTGCACCACTTCCATTGCCATCTTATCCAGGTCCACCTATAGGAAGCCTGGGAGGGGAGGGGAGGGACGGGGAAAACCGGGGAGGGGAGGGGAGGGGAGGGAAGAAACTAGAGTATGGAGAGACGGCAGGGTGCACCAGATCCATGGCCATCTGATCCAGCTCCTCCTATAGGGAGCCTGGGAGGTGTGAGGGGGACAGGGTTGAGGGACGAGCGGGAGGGGTAAGGGACGAGGGGGAGGGGTGAGGAAGGAGGGGGAGGGGTGAAGGATGCGGGGGAAAGGGACAGGGGGGAGCGGAAGAAAGCAATTTTGATGGTGAGACGGTAGAGGGAGCGAAATCTGGGCTACACCACATTCACAGGGAGTTGAGAAAGGAGTGGAGGTGTGACAGGAGAGATGAAGATGGGACGTAGAGAAGGCAGGGGGGACTTGAGGCAAGGGGTGTGACAGGAAGAGAGAGAGGAGACGGAAGAGAAGAGAGGAGGGGAAGGGGAGGAGAGGAGAGGGAGAAGTACGGAAGAGAGGGGATCAGAAGGCTTGAGACCAGGTGGGGAGAAGGCACAAGTACACCCATTCATGGCAAACTTTGTCCGACAAATCCACCACTTCTCACCGCTTCCTACCAATTCTCACACCTTCTCACCCTGGAATTAAGAAATTGCTAGTGACGAACACAGCAATACACCCCCAGGGGCCCCTTTTCGTCCCACTAATCTCTACCTTACACCGCGATGCCCTTCCCAACAAAAAGCTCCGCTACGATCGACTCTCAAACCGGCTCTCAGAAGGCTTCTGTGCACCAATCAAACTATCCACCCAACCCCCCCCCCCCCCCCCCCCCCTCCCCCACGCCTCCTTCCGCCCACTCTCTTCCCCTCGGCCTTCCTCCCCCGCCACCCTCTCGCATTCCCCCCCCTCTGTGACGCACCAGCAGCGGCGAGGAAGAGCCCTTGGAGGATGATGAGGACGAACACGAACCCCAAGGAAGCCACCACGGCCGTCTCGATAAGCAGCCTCATCAGCCCGCCCGACCAACCCTGCCATCCCCACAATCACCACCCACGCCCCTTCCAACCCCTTCCCATTCCACCCACCACCTCCCACCTCCTGCCTTCCGTCCAAGTCTCCACCCACCTTCCACCCCCATCAAATTTCCCCGCACACACAAGTCCCTGCACCGCACGCACCAGCAGCAGCGAGGAAGAGCCCTTCGAGGATGATGAGGACGAACAATAGGGCCCCTCATGGCTCCAGCTCCCCCTCCCTTCCCCCCCTCCCTCCCCAACTTGGCAATGCACTCACCGGCAGCGGCGAGGAAGAGCCCTTCAAGGATGATGAGGACGAAGACGAACCCTAGGGAAGCCACCACGGCCGTCTCGATCTCCGCAGCCTTCTTCTCCTCCTCGCCCATCGGCTGAGTCGACAGTAGCGGCTGTGACGGCGCCGGCCGCCGAACCACTGCCGGCTGCTGCGGCGCCTTCCCGAACCCCTTGCCGGCCGCCGCCTTGCCGGCTGCTGGCTCCTTCACTGCTGACGTGGATTCGGACGTTTGGGATGGTTCAGGCTCGGCGGAGGCTCGGATGCCTACATGCCTGGTTGGTCGGAACCGAAGACCGGCATTTATAGCGGGGTTAGGCACGGTTGGTGAAAAGCGACATCTTGAAGAAGTGAGGGATGCAGCTGATTGGTGGAGGGGAAGTTGGGCGAGAGACATGGAGACGGCCATGTGGGTTCAATAGAATTTGTAAGCGCTAACTTGGAAAAAAAGTAGGCTAGCGACGTTTACGCGGAAATGTCTAGCCTCGAATTGTAGTTTGTCCGTGAAGGAACTACACCTGACGAGTTTCGGCCAAGTAATCAAGCAATGGCTGTGGGCGTTTCGAGCTTGAGAATGTGAGCCTAGATTCTAGAGATAGCGGAAAGGTATGTGAAGATCATCGGATGTCAAAGCAGGCATACTGAGGGGGTGTTTGTGAGCTGAATGACACGAAACAAACCTCGAATTGAGAAGATTCGGACTCCAATGCCTCACGTCAGTGTCCCTGAACCTGACGCACCGGACCAGGGGGTTCGGGTTGACACTGATTGTGTGTACTTAGTTTCTAGTGTTGGTTCGCGCAACACGGCTTGGATGCGTTTTGTAATGGATGACACACGGATTACAAACGCCAATGGGAGAGAAGAACGTGGATATTCCTGAAGCTCGTAAACCGACAATAGCGGCTTCAGTACAGAGGCCTACAATGGAGTAAGAGAGTACACCATAGCCTGTACAAGCAAGTAATAGTAAAAAAAAAGCATGGTGAAATCCATATGGGCCTCATAACGGGCCAACACTAGTTTTGATTCCTGAATCGCCGTACAACATGTTTCTCAAGCATTCTCTGCAGACACAGCTGGAAGTGCTGAAGCTCAATCCTCCTGACTCCATTATGTGAACGGAAATTCATTATTCCGTTTCATGCTTCTTAGGAGTCTCGCTCTGCCCTTCCTCCCTCTTATCCAGCCCAGGAGCGAACTTCCCTCCAGCGCGTTCACCAGTTTCCTGCCCTCCTGGCTGAATTAGTCGCTCCCCTGTCTCAAACTCCATGTCCAACCTGCCGTCACCGTGCACCAGAGACATGAAACAGCAGCACTAGGGAGTATATAAGATATGTACTACGAGGCAACAAAAAAACGTCGATATTTCACGTAAATCTTCCAATCTAAAGCAATTGGAGAGAAGCAAAACGATTCAATCAAACAAACAATAACCACCCGTACTTAATCTGTTCCTCTGCCTTCTTGGCCGCCGGGCGTGGCTCCTGCTTCACGCGTTCTGCCATGGTCACACCTAATCGGCAATTCCTCAGAAGGAAGATCGTGTATCGTCTATTGGAGGAGAGTAGTCGCGACGAGGCGCACACCGTTCAGCGTTCAGGCTCACGAGATCAACCAGAACCAGGTAGACGAACAAAATTCTCTGCTTCTGAGGCATTGCCGAGTGGCCTCATCTTCCCGCTTCGGATGCCAGAACTCCTCCATTTCGGAGCAGTCGGTCTCTCTGGCTCGGTACCAAACCTAGCACCCGGAATCGCCCTCTTCGCAATGCCGGTTCTCGCGAATCAAGAGTGAGCCCGTCCACCTCCCGAGCTTTTGCGCGAGGTCAGACGCAAGTGTAGTAGCAAATGTGTTTAATCGGCCACGCGAGGCGTTGAGCGAAACTCTACCACAGCAGTGCATGCTCGACGCTCCACAGCTGCTGGCGATCATGCAGACGGCTTGGTTTCGTTGGAATCGCGAGCACGGAAGTCTCCAGCTGGGCTTTGCCAGAATGGTGCTTCGCCTCGGCACAACAACCAGGCACAAGGCAGAGGAGGGGAAGCCGGAAGCTTCGTTATATTAGTGGCCGTCGTTATATTTGTGTGAGTTGTACAGTAAATAAGGGAAGTGGGCACTGTACATTGCAGAAAAAGTACACCTCCAATCTGTCACGCAAAAGCCTGATCCCCCTGTTCGGTAAAAGAACATTCTCCTCCAATCTCCCTCGTTCTTTCTCCCCGCCACGTGGAGAGACCACACACACACAGTTCACCTGTTACTGTAGTTAGAAGCCCACCCCCAGCTGTCTCTGTCAGCTCCGCCTGGTCGGCACGGGCAGTAGTACAGCAAACTTTCCCTCCGAAGGTCCTTACTTGCCGAAGGGGTCCGAAGGTTGCAAGTCCATTTCCCACCCCGCTAAGCGAGTTATCTGGATCGTAGCAGTAGCCAATTTTCCAGGAACCGCGAACGTATTACAACGGTCACACAACTCATACTACGCTTGGATGTGAAACCCGAAAGGTCTTTCTGGGTGTGTCGGCTACATTGAGCCAAACAAGCACGACAATGCTGAAGGCTGCGACGATTCGCGAGTTTGACAGCAACCGTCGCTCCAGGCGAGCTCCCGCGCGTGGTCGTCACGAAAAATCGCCCAATGGCAGTCCCTCGCGCTCTCCGACTGCAGCAGCAGCAGCAAAAGAAGGAACTGCGAGCTCGAAAGGTTTCACAACAGCCAAGGAACGTGGTGGTCATACTTCTACCCATGGTCACGGCCTCAGTCACGGCGCACACAGCCATGTTGTAATGCCCAAGGCTATTATAATGGCGGTTACAAGGCTTTTATAATATTCCAATACAAAATAGTAGCCTTAACTAGCCTCAACAGCCTTGGAGATGAAAATCTTCTTGATGCCTTTGATGAAAAGCACTTGGAGTAGTTGTGTAGGGAAGCTTGTGAGAGAGCCTAAAGGACTTAGCCAAATAATCCCATTTCCAATTGTTTAGTTGGAGTGGGAGGTTGAGAATGAGCTTGCTTAGCTCAGACCCTCTCAATACACCCCTTGGGGAACTATCCCAACCATGGTTTCCATGGTGGGATGGTTCCTAGGCTTGGAGCCTATGTGGCAATTGTGTTGGGTTGGAAAACCCAACTTAGAACCATTCAATGGTTGTGTTTAGGATAGAGTAGATTGTAACAATTGTTTGGCAGTTTCTGATTGGTTGGAATTCCAACCTTTGTGATTTCACTTTGATGGGTTGGAGTTTCCCAAACCTCTTGGTTGAGGTTTGGAAAACCAAACCAACCCTTCCATCCCAACCAAAGCCAACCTTCTTCTCCAAGTCCCTCTTTGTCGAGAAAACTCTCGACATTTACTTAGAGGGAAGTTGGTTAGTTAGCTTAGTTAGGGCAATGCGTTACACTCCTCCCCCCCCAGGTGGCAACGTCCCCGTTGCCCTAGGGTGCTTCTTAGGACGAGTGCTTCGAGCACGGCGCACCACATTACGACCAGGGTCAACCCTATCCACTGGTTGTGGGCCTGCTCGTAGAGCCAGGTCTTCCATATACGCTTGAACCGCTGCTTCGGTCAAGTGTTCCTCAGGCTCCCAAGAGTTGTGTTCCGGCCCATAGCCTTTCCACTGAATTAGGAACTCACGAACTGTTTTGCGGCCGCGTTGTCGATCACGGTGCGTTAGCACACGTTCGACTTCATAAAAGAGTTCTTCCCCGAGAACGATGGTTGGTGGTGGTAAGTACTTGCCTTCAGCAACATACTTATTGAGCAGAGACACGTGGAAGACATTGTGAATCTGCAGTGTCGCAGGCAACTTGAGCCTGTATGCGACCTCACCAACTCGCGCAATCACCTCGAAGGGCCCAATCCAACGAGGAAAGAGCTTTCGTGCTCCCGGGATCTTGAGACGAATGTTCTTCGTACTCAGTAATACTTTGTCGCCAACTGCAAAGACGACTTCCCGGCGTTTCATGTCGGCATAGGACTTTTGCCTCTGTTGGGCAAGCTGCAGCCAATGGCGAGCGGACTTCAAAGCCGCTTGCTGCTTCCAATAAAGTCCTTTGCGGCAGGGATTTTGAGGTTCTTAATCCCATGCGTCGCAGGGGTTGTAGGGTGCCGACCACAGTTCAGGACAAAGGGTTTCTCATGCGTGCTTTCATGCACTGAATTGTTCACAGCGAATTCTACGACTGGCAACAATTCATCCCAATCGTCCTGACTTGGGCTTATGAAAGAACGAAGCATTTGCTCAAGGGTGCGGTTAGTCCGCTCTGTCTGTCCGTCCGTTTGTGGGTGGAAAGCAGACGACATCTTGAGTTTCGTTCCCAGTGTCTTAGTGACCTCTTGCCAGAACCGGCTTGTGAAGCGCGGGTCTCGGTCAGACACCATCACACGAGGCAAACCGTGTAAGCGGAAAACGTGCGTCACAAACAACTTTGCCGTATCCTCCGCAGACACGTCAGTCGTCGTGGGCACGAAGTGCACCATTTTGGTCAGGCGATCAACAAACACCAGAATCGCCGTATGACCATCTCGCGTCTTGGGGAGATCGGTGATAAAGTCCAGCGATACACTCTCCCAAGGTTCATCGGGAATGGTAAGTGGTTGAAGCAAACCACCAGGCTTCTGTGTGCTTGGCTTGTTCCGTGCACACGTGTCACAGCGAGTTACAAACTGCTGGACCTCAATGCCCAATCCCGGCCACCAGTATACATCACTGAGGGCCCACCGGGTTTTCTTGACACCCAGGTGTCCTCCATACTTAGTGGCGTGCACCTCTGCTAGAATATCATTCCGCAGGTTTCCCACATGTGGGACAACAATTTCTTTCTTGTGCCACCAGAGCTCATGCTCCCACAAGAGATCCTTTGTATTCTGTGGATTCTGGAACCAGGGGTCAATATCATACCCTGCGCGGATGCGTTTCAGAAAACCACTAAAGGCAATCTCGCTCACTCGAGCAGCTGCGAGGATATTGAAACAAGCAGCAAACACTGCTTCATGTTCGTTATCATCAACCCCCGTTGCTGCGCCAATCGGCTGTCTGCTCAACGGATCAGCCATGTTCTTCGAGCCCGCTCGATATCGAATATCGTAGGTGAACCCACTAAGGAGTTCCGCCCATCGAGCTTGACGGCGGGTGAGTGTGGCTTGAGTGGCAAAATAGGTGTTCGGACAATGGTCGGTCGTGACCACGAAGTCAACACCTTCGAGATAACATCTCCATGTTCGTAGCGCATGCACAACCGCCAACAATTCCTGTTCGGAAGTTGTATAGCGCTGCTCAGCCGGAGAAAGCTTTCTACTCTCAAATGCCACGGGGCGTCCTTCTTGCAAAAGAACTGCTCCAATCCCTACTGTCGAGGCATCAGTTACCACCTCGTAGGGCTTGGACGGGTCTGGCAAAGCCAGC